TGATGAATTGGATGGTGGTTATTTGAAGGAGACGCTGTTACTGATGAAATGTTGTTAGAGTTGGTTTAATGTAAATAGTTTGTTTAATGTGTTTTGTACCTGCCTGTACCTCTGAGATCAATGTCTTCTGTGCACTGTCCTTGTTTTAAATAAATAAATGAATAATATTAATAATAAAAACTACATCAGGACTAAAGAGATAAACCAGGACTAGAACAGAACTAAACCAGGACTAAATCAATAATCCATCCCTCCATTTTCATCTGCGGCTCATCACCGGGGACTCCCAGACTTCCTTCACCCCAGACACTTCCTCCAGTGTCTCCGGGGGACCCTGAGGTGTTCCCAAGCCAGCCGAGTCCTGGGTCTTCCCCGGGGCCTCCTCCCGGTGGTACATGCCCGGAACACCTCCTGTCCAGGAGACATCAAGAACAGATGCCCTCCCCTCAGCTGCTCCTCTCCACGTGGAGGAGCAGCGACTCTACTCCGAGCTCCTCCCGTGTGACTGAGTTCAATCAAATAAAAGTTCATATTGTAGATCCATGCACTGAACCGGGACTGTCACAAGCTAGCTAGCATTAGCATTAGCCAACAGTTTAACAGTGAGTCAGTGTCACCTTGTTGTTGAAAATCAAACTCTTAAACAGAACCATGAACGCTCCACGGGATCCTGAAAATGTGCTCTTTAATTCCACTTAGTGGTTTTTCTTACTGCACTATATACTTTTCTTACTGTACTATACTATATCTATATATCTCTATCTATCTATATACATGTATGTATGTATGTATATATGTGTGTGTGTGTGTATGTATGTATGTATATATATATATATATATATATTTTTTTTTTTTTTTTTTTTTATAGTACTAACTATATAAAACCGTTTTTACAGTGTTTGTGTTTTGTCTCTACGGTAACTGTTGAACATTTTGTCAGTACACACACATGTAGAACCCCACCAGTGTGACGTCACTGTAAAGTATCAACACATGTAATGGAATAAATGCCAGATGACAGATGCGTTTAATGCCATACTGTGGAGCATTTTCGAGACAGCAATAACATCTCCATGGAAACAAGTACGTGGAATATTCTATTTGTGTCTTTATCAAGTATAGCACCCCAGTTGTATGTATCTTAAAGTATAATTCATATTTTAGGTCTGATATGGTTGACTTTGCAATAATAATAATGCTCTAATAATAATTATTATTATATTTTCTTGTATATTTTGAGAGGAAAAACACTGGTGATTTGGCAGGTTTTTACATCAGATGCCCTTCCAAACACGTTCAAAATTAACCTTGCAAACACTCAAGGGAAGCACAAAACCAAAGGTGCGACCAAGTTTCAATAGTGCTATTTTGAAACTACAACAATTACCGTGGTCTAAACATTAAAGCTTTATTCTGTAACATTGCTGCAAAGTCTAGAGCCTAAAGTAAATGCAAACACGCTCACAGTACAGATGCAGGATTTTCAATATGTTTCTGAGCAATAAAAAACACCTGTATTGAAATAAAGGCTTTTATTTGAGTCTATTTATTGGGTGAAATGTTCCACAGTGGGGCTTTAACCAACCACAATAATGTACAAAGCTGAATTTAAGCAAAATGCATAGTTTAAGCATGAGCCCAACTAAAAAGGCTGCGTTCACACATCACATGGCGACTAAACCTGGACTAAACCAGTACTAAACCAGGACTACAACTGGACCAAAACAAGTCTACATCAGGACTAAACCAGAACTAAACCAAGACTAGAACAGGACTAAACTGTGACTACAACTGGACCAAAGCAAGTCTACATCAGGACTACACCAAGACTAGAACAGGACTGAACTGGGACTACAGCAGGACTAAACCGGGACTACATCAGGACTAAACCAGAACTAAGCCAGGAACAGAACAGGCAGCCTAGAAACATTTAGTTGCATATTTGTGAGAGAAAAAAAAAAAAAAAAAAAGGAAAAGCTATAATGAATTCAAAGCTTTGGTTCAAATTTGAGAGTTTTCAGTGGAAGAAAATAAAGAAATTAAAACAGGGATCCTTCAAAACAGGGCGATAAAAGTAGAAACAGACAATCCTGCAACATTAAAACACTGCCAAAGATTGTATATTTATTTTTATTTAGCATTTAAGGAGCACTCTAATTGAACCAATATCCTTCAAACTCCACCCCTGCAGTCAGGTGTTTGTATTAGAAATGTGTAATCATTTAATTAGTGCTGTGTGATGTGACACGACACAGTACTTGAAATCAGAGGCCACTGAAGGCAGGACAAAGTCAAATTTAGGTGTTTTTGAAGAGTAATTGGACCTAGTTTGCATTAAACCTGAGAAAAATGATGGGGAAAAGTATATAATGTTATAAAAACTCCATATAAACAGTTTAGTAGTGAAGAAGGTGGAATTAGTATTATTATTATTTAATTCCACTTTAAAGGAATTCAATTAATGCATTTTGTAGGGAAAAGTTAAGAAGAAAAAAGAAGTTTGCTTGAAATGACTGATGTTTTTGCTAAATGTTATAATATTTTACTGTATTTCCAGGATGCAAAGTTTTTAATTTTTTTAGATTTTCTGTTTCAGCTGTACTGCCTGAATTTAATTATTAAGAGGTTTATTCTCTAATAATCAGGAAGTGTACTGTTAGCATGCTAGTTGTTGTTAGCGTTCCTATGGCGTCAAACTCCGCTCTGGTCTCAGAGTTTCGAAAAAATCATAAAACATAAAATAAACAACCTATGAAGTTATATTTATATGTAGAAGACTTGAGGTTGCGGTGTTTTTTAAATTTTAATATTTTTTATGACTATTATAACTTTTTCTAAACACAGCAGTTTCCTCCAGTGAAGTATTTTATTTTGTACTTTTTAACACCCACAGCTCCCTGTTCTCTGCCGTATCTTTTATTTTTTAGCAAATTTGTTTGCACAATTTGCTAAAAATCTCACAGAGACAAAACTGGACAGGAAGTAGTGACGCTAACAGTGAGGCTAACAACTCGAATGTGCACAGAGCCTGTTAGCTTCATTGTAATAATACAGGGACAATGTAAAAATATGTTATGATTTAAAAACTCCCTCAAATTAAGAATCTCAGGTTTAAACATGTTTTAGCTGAAAAGTGAAGACACAAATTCTAGACAAAAACTCTTTAGTACAAAAAGTCTTTACAACACACACATGTTAGCATTAGCAAAAGCAGCTAGCAAAACACAACAACGTTCACTACTTCAGCCTAATCCAGACTTTTAAAACTAACGGAGAAAACTGTACTGTAACTGTAAAGAGGCTGCCAATACTATGCTACAGTTACTAAAGTACATTTATTGACCAACTTTCCATAAAAATACAAAATTTACTAGTTCAGAACGAATAATTTTTATTCCTACTATAGTGTAACAGTACTGAGTAAAAATCCTTATGTTGACAAAAGTACATGATCTGAACATTTGAACATTGCCTAATAACATTAAATAAAAACTAGGGGTATTTTTGATAAACGTATTCAAAATCACTTCTAGTTCCAATAATGTTTTATGGTAAATGAGTAAAACTGTTGTGTCCCAGTGAAGTCCTAATGTTGTAAAGTGATGTGCAAGTCTCATTATAGTCACGTTTTCAGAACAAAGCTGCTCTAAAAATAGCTGCTCTTTTGGGTCAAGTCCCCGCGGCTGCTCCCGTCCCATATGTGAGGAAATAACATTGGGCTGGATCTGAAAATACTGTTTATGAATTATGTGTGGCTAAAAACAAAGATCTCAAATGAACTTCTAGTGGTTTTCTGACAGGTATAAATGCATAGAGGATGTATTTGAGAATCTAAAACTGGTCACATAAAGAAACAAGGTCTAACTGGGTCTAAACCAGACTGAAAGCAACTATTTAACACGTCAAAAATATTCCTAAACCCACTGCAGGACTAAACCAGAGTTAAAGCTGTTGCTAAGTATAAAAGGGTCTTAGCAAAACCAGGACCAAATCAGGACTAAACAAGGAATAAACCAGGAGTAAACCAAGTCTAAACCAGGTCTAAAACAGGACTATACTGGGATTAAAGCCAGATCTAAACTAGGACTAAACCAGGACTGAACAGGGACTGAACCAGGACTAAACCAGGACCAAATCAGGACTGAACCAGGACTAAACCAGGACCAAATCAGGACTAAAGCAGGACTAAACCAGGACTGAAAAAGGACTAAACTAGGACTGAAAAAGGACTAAACCAGGACTAAACCAAATGTAAGACTAGACTAAACCAGATTTTAAAGGTGCCTATGTAACTTCTCTGGTGGAGCCTGCTTGTCTCCATAGAGATGCTACTACTACCTTGCCTGAAATATTCCACAATGCAACCTGTTTGAAATGATCCATCCCCATGGACCCAAACCGGGGATGTCATCAATCAAAATTACATGTCAGATCTGTGGAGAGGTGAGTAAGATTGTATTTTTTCAGCAATAAAAATGCTTAATGAATGCATGCGAGATAGATAGATTTAAGGCCATACTGAGGGACATTCCAGACAAAGCAATAACATCTCCATGGAGACAAGCAGTTAGTGCACCTTCCACCAGAAATGTTACGTAGTGCACCATTAAATAGGATTAACACCTGATGTATACTACCACAAATGAGGTCTAGACTATAGGATTAAACCAGGACTAATCCAGAACCAAACCAGGACTAATCCTGAACTAAACCAGGACTAATCCTGAACCAAACCAGGACTAATCCTGAACTAAACCAGGACTAATCCAGAACCAAACCAGGACTAATCTTGAACTAAACCAGGACTAATCCTGAACTAAACCAGGACTAATCCTGAACTAAACCAGGACTAATCCTGAACTAAACCAGGACTAATCCAGAAGCAAACCAGGACTAATCTTGAACTAAACCAGGACTAATCCTGAACTAAACCAGGACTAATCCTGAACTAAACCAGGACTAATCCTGAACTAAACCAGGACTAATCCAAAACTAAGGGCATTAAAACATAAATTAGAGGAACCTACCTGAGTACTACCAAAAGAACCCTGTGTACCACATTTGGAGAACTATTGGCCTGTATCAGTCTGCTGCAAAAGTCTTAAAGGTGCATTGCGTAACTTTTCTGTTAGAGGATCCGTCAAATGCTTTTCTCCATAGAGATGTTACATGTCAGATCTGTGGAGAGGCGACCCCACTCAAAGTCAGAATACCTGTTATTCTAGGTATTTTTGAGCTGTAAAACCACCTGTAATTGAATAAATGTGGACCATTCGAGGCAGAGCAAGCAGGTGGCGGACCCTCCACCAGAAAAGTTACACAATGGACCTTAAAACCTAAAAGCTGCATTTCTATTGAAGCATGACAGCGACAAATACTTACAAAAACCCAACACATAAACAATAAAACACTTTAAACTTTACACGATACATATTCTCTTTTCTCTCAGGACAATAAATAAATTAATAATAATAATATTGATATAGCTTATTGTAAAAAACAAAATCTTTAAAATTCACATATAAATACACTCAAACTTGCACAGACTTCCCACTAAAAGGAGTGGACCCAAGACTGCATAACTACGATTTTCCTTTTTTGACGTAAACACACGACTTTTCCCTTTAGACGACAGACAAAGCGGACGCCATTTTGGCTCTATGTCACAAGATGGCAGCAGCCCTTAAAGTATCTGTTACATAAAGCCCCGCTCACACATGATTCCCGGTAAAATGCCAGAGGACCCCCGTTCACACACGCAGCTCCAGAGCATTTCCGGGTCAGTTATTAGTTGAAGCTTTAACCTGGAATTTGCTGAAATTTGGCTTTGTTGATCCCTAATTTGAGTCAGAGCCAAATTTGCGTCAAAATGTGATCTGCGTATACCCAGGTTTTTATTATTTCTTTAAATATTTACTTTATTTTAAGTGAAATCTGAGCTCAGCATTGGTGTTAACAGCACATTTAAATAGTAAAAAGCTCGAGCAAAACAGATGCTTTCATGTGTTTGTGATTACAGCCAGACGGGATTTGACCAAGGTTTTTATCCAAATAAATCTTATCAAACTTTCTTTGTGAACTTCACTTAAATGAAGGAGAACTATGGTTGCAACAGACACATTTTTAACAGTCTCTGGACTAAAATTGACTGGCATAACTGATGCAAAATTGTCAAATGACTCAAACAGGCTCACTGCATTCTCGCACATAGAAACACACTGCAACATTGTTTAAATTGAATGAGAATGGAACCAGGGACCAGTAACCATGAAACCACACTTGTAACTATGGAAACCAAGCTCGTAATCAGGGAAATCAAGATTGTAACCAGGAAGCTAAGATAATAACCAGGAAATCAAGCTCGTAACCAGAGAAAGCAAGATCATAACCAGGGAAACTAAGCGTGGAACCATGATATTTTCTATCTTTATTCACACGTAAGTCTAGCTCTGTTCACACATGATCCTGTTCTGACAAATTGCAGGTAAATTCTCAGGTTAGGCTGCATGTGTGAATGGGGCTTTTATCAGTATATTATGTGTATTTTTCTCTATTTTTGGACAACATTGACAGCACACACCTCCCTGAAAACATATTTCAGATGTTACGACAAAGAAAGCAAATTATCGGCTATTGCTAACGATGATTTTTGAGGTTACAGCCATTGCTTTCGTTGCATGCTTTGGCGTTCCCATGCAGATACCATGCAATTATTCAGCCAAAGGGATAAAACAGGCTACTTTTCGAAACTCCGCAAAAATATTCTCATATCTTTTCTTTTTTGCTTTCTGCCTTCGTTCATTGTCCTTCTGTAAAGTGGAAGGCAGGGGGCGCTGGTATATTTTCGTCCGAGCTTAGCGCCAGAGGAGTGTTTATGGGCGTGGTCAGAGGTGTCGCTGGCTGTGTGTTGCTATTGTTACTGTTGCTATGGAGATTGTGTGCGTCGCCGTCATGGAAGTGCTTGTCATGTGACTGCGAAGAGGAGGAGGAGGAGTGCGTGGACTCGCTGGAGCTGCTGCGTGTCTCTGTGCTGGTGCTCGTTTTCTTCATCTTTCGCCGTTTGGCCAAAGGAGCTTTATCCACCGTCTGTAACCGGAAGCCCTCCCGTTTACACTTGTTAAAGGCCTGTGACAAAACAAAACAGGTGTATACTTTACTAAACTGACATGTGTGAGCTGCTGTGTCCAAGTAACTGTGGATTTATAAACTTTGTCTAAGTCTAAATCTGAATCAGTATATTGCATCATAACACACAACATCTATATTGCAAACTTTTGTGTGGTGGAAAAGACGACCTCGTGCAGTAAAAACTAGTTCAAACCACTGCAGATAGACATTTTTAAACAGTTGAAACCTCAACAGCACCTGTGAACTACTTTAAACTGGGCCGAATAGTGAGGTTACATATAGGAGTGACACAAGACAAGATTTCAAAGAGATCCAAGACAATGAGAAAAAAAGAGATTTTGACATAAATTATAATCAATAAAATGAGTGATCCAGTTCACAATTTAGGCCACACTTTTTATTGATTTATATTTATGATGTCATTGTATGACTGCTTTTTGAAATGTAACTTGCCAACATATCAGGCTATTTTCTAACCTGTTTCTTCATCACAAACACACATGGAGTTGTGTTTTGTTTCATTCACACGTTTAACATGTTGGAATATTTAACACACAGATCCTTCATATGCTTTAGTTCTTCTCTCAAACAGAAAACACTATGTTCTACCTTGTGATGTCATGTGGTAACACAGGAAGTGCTCCACTGTGATTTCACTCCACACAACTTCACTGGAATTATCTGGATGATTTCAGAAGTGAAATTGCCAATCTCTACTGAACAAAAAGCAAAAGTAGCTGTTAACTTGACATCACAATTTGGAACAGAGCATTTTAAGTATGCTAGATGTAGACAGACTAATAATGCAGGATTACACAAACGTGACTGAAACAAAACACAATGCCAGGTCTGTTTTTGAGGAGGTAATACTGTTCTAACATATTTTAAAGCTCACAAGAAGCTATATTGTGCAATATCAGACCTTTAACCCTTATTCTGTCTAAATGTAAAAACTTGAGGAAAAAGTCCCACAAGATCATTTTTCTCATGTGTACACAATTTTGTCCCATCCCTAGATCCATAGATTTGGTTCTTACGTTGAAGGTTGCTTTTACGTAGGTGTGCACAGAGGCAGTGGAGGAGCCCAGGATGTCAGGGGTCATCAGGGGGTTTGAGGAGAGCTGAGAATCATCCTGGAGCCATGTGTTGTATCTCAAACCACACATCTTTATACGCTTGTTTGGGTCCACTGTCAACAGCTCTGGAAACAGGGAAGGGGAAAAGTGAAACAGCTTTAGAAAACTTAGGTCAAAAGGTGGAAACAAAAAAAACCCCAAAAAAACTGAGTGGATTACAGAGAGATTACAAGCATTTGTTGTCAGGTATTCATATTTATAGATTTGGGACATACTGGCAAATGCAAAATTATATCTCTGTATTTGTTTTATGCAGAGGGATATCAGTCATGTCTTGAGCCACAACCATGATCATGTAATCATTAAAGATCCTACATTTACAAAATTGTGCTTTGTTATCAGGTTGTTCCCTCCTCAAAAACAGACCTGGAGTTGTGTTTTGTTTCATTCACACGTTTGAGTTACTCTTTATTATTAGTCTGTCTACATCTCCAAAGCTCCAAATGCTCTGTTCCACCTTGTGATGTCATGAAGAGGTAGTTTTCAAGTGAACAGCTCCTTTTGTTTAGTAGAGATTGTAAATTCCAGGGCTGAAGATCATCTAAATCACTCTAATGAAGGTGGAATAGAGTTTAAAAACACAGTGGAGCACTTGTATTACCACATGACATCACAAGGTGGAACAGAGTGTTTTCAGTTTGAGAGAAGAACTCAGCCTAAATGTGCAGTGTTTGTGTGTTAAACATGTGTGAATGAAACTAAACACAACTCCAGGTGTGTTTGTGATGAGGAAATGACATTAAAACAGAGATCAGGAAAATGCATAATATTGGATCTTTAAGAGTTAAATTGATCAAGTTCAAGAGCTCTACAGTATTTCTGTGTGTCTGTGCTGTACCCTGGATGAGGTCCTTGGCCTGCTGGGACACGTTCCTCCAGGCCTCCCCCTCGAACGAGAAGTCTCCATGTTTGATTTTCTTCATGATCTCCTCTGCGCTGGTGTGAGTCAGGCTCTTCTCCTCGCACTGGAACGGCACCTGCCCTGAGAGCATCGTGTACTGAGGAGACAGGGCCAAAACAGAAAGGGGCAAGTCAGACAGGGAGCAGGGGACATGGAATAAACTAATTGATTTTTATGATTAATATTAAGACATAGTTTGCTATTTATATTTATGCTGTGTTCACACAACACACAACATTTGAACTTAACTAGGACTAAATGCATAAGAAAAACAAATCTAGATTTGACAAGAGCTAAACCAGGACTAGAACTGGAGAAAATAAAGGACAAAGTGGATACTAAAATTTCAATACTGAAGAAAAAATGGTCATTAGTTGATACCACAATTCCTAGAAAAATCACATTATTTTGACAGAGACTTAGCATTTGAGAAAAACTGAAATATGAACTGATAAACTGATAGTAGCAGGGTCAATTGATTTTATAGATCTTATTAAAATAACTGGATTTGTTTCACAATTCCAATGTTCACTCTTACAAAATCACCTGAAATTATTAATTTAATGTGATCAGCAAACCACAAAATGTGAATTAGCACTATAGTTTAGACCTCTACAAATAAAACATGTTCTGAAATACAAGGATTTGTTTATCAGTTCATGTTTCATCTTCTCTTTCTTCCTACACATGTTAAATTCATGTTGTATTCTATATATTATATATCTATATATTATTTTAGGTGTACTTCTTCTCTCAAGTAGAAAACACTCTGTTCCACCTTGTCACATCATGTGGTAATACAGGAAGTGCTCCACTGTGTTTTTAAACCCCATATTACCTTCACTGGAATCATTTGGATCATTTCAGCCCTGGAACTGCCATTTTCTACTGAACTAAAGGTAGAAAGTAGTTATTATCTTGACATGACATCACAAGATGGAACAGACACAACAAAACACAACTCCAGGTCTGTTTTTAAACATGGCCTCAAGCTCACAAGAGTCAGTTTAGTTTAATATACAGTAGAATATTTAAAAATAAAAACAGGGAACTAAATCCCAACATTAAAACATTGCAATTCAAACCAAAATTACAATACTCATCTGGTAAATAGAGATATTTTCCCCAAAATGTTCAGCTGTATTAGGCAATGTGCTTGTTGCAGCTTTCGTTATTATTTTCAATGACTGTTTTCTGCCCCCATTTTTCTGCCCATTATTACACAAATGGACCATAATAAACAACCATAAGAGAAGAGCCCTTGACCGATCACAGCTGCCCACATTTGTACGTGTTTTTTGTAGATCACGGACAAATTTTCAATGGGCTGGATGAAGTGGGTTTAAATGATCTGAACAGGCTGGCTCCTCTCACCTTCACCCTCGTATTCAACACAATAAAAGCAGTGGGCCTGGTGAGGTGCACATTACACTGGTAGCACTGGCATTGTTTCATTCATGAGTCTTTGTTAAAGGGCTTGTATTTTCTGATGTTCTAATGTAGGTTCCTCATCACAAACAGACCCAGAGTTGTGTTTTGTTTCATTTACACATGTTTAACACACAAACTCTACATATCTAGGCTTTCTAACAAACAGAAAACACTGTACAGGAAGTGCTCCACTGTGTTTTAAAACTCCACGCACCTTCACTAGAATCATTTGGATGATTTCAGCCCTTGAATCTCTATCATTCTCTGCAAGAACTAAAGGTAAAAGGAACTGTTCACTTGAAAACTACCGCTTCATGACATCACAAGTTGGAACAGAGCATTTTGAGCTTTGGAGACGTAGACAGACAAACAATAAATTCAGATTTTTCTGCAGCATGATACATATAATTCAGAAATCCTGTGGTGAGCTGCTTGGGAGGGGCTGGAGAACTACTGCAGCTCCTGTAGTTTAGTCCTGAGTAGCTTTAGACCTGATATAGACCTGACTGAGTTCTGCTTTAGGATTCTGATCGAGAGACAAAACCAGAACCATAAAAAGTATTTTGTGTGTAAAGTGTATAGTATAGGAAGTGCAGGAAACCAATGAAAAAGGAAACACATGCAAGGACATATCTTTTAGGCCACTTTTTGTATTGGTTTAAACTGTTCTCTCTCTCCTCTCGTTTTTCTCTTCTCTTCTTCTCCCTTCCTCTCTCTCTCTGTTTCCCTGTCCCTTAGTCTACTCCCTTCCTCCCTCGTTCTCTGTCCATCTTTCTCTCTATACACCCCCCGTCTCTCTCTCTTTCTGTTTCTTTCTCTCTCCCTGTCACTCTGTCTATCTCTCTCTGTCCACTCTCCTCTTATTGTGTCACTTTCTCTTCTCCCTCTCTCAGTTTAAGCCTGTCTCTCTCTCTGTCTCCATCTCTCCCTCTGACCTGTGGAACACAACTTGTCAAGAAATATTTCATCAGTTGTACACAAAAAACAGTACTCATGTTTAACCGCAGGGGACGACGGCGCAGAAAAACACTTGTACACCGTTTTATATGGATGAATGAGTCGAACATAAGCAACACACAAAGTGACCCTTTAATCACTCAAGCGTCTGCATTAGAATTCGGGCTGTCAAAAGTATCAAAAATCAGATAATAATCGATACTAACACTGGTATCAAAACAAGATATGCATTTGAGCAGATATCAATACTAAAAACGTTATGTTCACAGGACAAAGTTAATCTTTCCTGAATGATGATGAATGTTGAGCTGTATGAGAACAAGTATAAGAGCACACAGACTAGTACACACACATGGACCAACATGAACCTACTGGACCACTGACGATTACACACATACAACACATATGGGAATAGAAAAGAAAAACTACCATTTAATGTGGAAATCCATGTTCTATTGTCTAAAGAAAGAGTGTTTTTTATAACCATTGTGGTATCAGAATCTGTATTGAGTATAGAGTCTATTCCTTATCAAAATCCGAGTTTGAAATGTTTTTATCGTGCCAACACAAGTGCAGGCTCACCTCTCCACGGGCCTGACCTGTAACTCTGCCTAATGCTGTTGTCATGTGTGTCTCCATGGAAATAAACAAGTTTATGGAAAGTGATAACATTCCCATGAAGACGAGCAAACAAACAAACATGTAATGCAAATATGTCACTATTAATAAATCAAAAGTCAAAGTAGTTTTCCAACATCAGTTTTTTTTCTGTAGATCTGTAAATAGATGGATAAACAGACAGATAAAAACATTAAAACTTCCTGTAGTCAACTAAAGAAATTCTTGCTGGACTAAAGACGACTGCTTGACTAAAAAGGGGGCATGGCAAGAGCTCTCAAAACTCTTCTGTATCTTTGTGTATTTGACCCAAACTGCACTCACAACAATACACCTGCAGGGGGAGCTCAAGCAAAAACTACTATATATACAGAAAAAAAGTACCAGGAAACCTTGTATTTACTAGTTGTGGGACTTGATAAAAAAAATAAATAAATAATGAAATGAATTACAAGCTTTGTAATTAATTAATCTCAATTAATCGCATAACAATATTTGCCTTTCTCATTTCCTCATTTTCCTGAAGCCCGTCAAGTGTTTGAGTTTGGGCTGAAACCTCTTGTTTGTACTTGGACCAGCAGTTTGTACTTGTGCTCCCACCAGCAGCTCCAGTTTCTGTTCTCGCTGTCACATGTTTTGCATTTAAATGGTGTTGTGGGGTTGAGGTGCTTCTGTAATATGCAAACTCTTCTCTGCACAGTTTACAATAAATAACGCTTTTGTCAATATTTCCATCAAGTAGTTTTTTGAATAGACATTTATCATCAGCAGACCCAGAGCACTTTCATGTCATGCTCCTCGATTGTTGTTGTGGGAACTGTGTGTGTCAGTATAATTGGCGAACCACGACATGGTGCACTGATTAACGTTCCACATTGTTTGGCAAACGGCATTAATATTTTTAATGCATTATTCTCTTTGTAATTAATTAATCGTATTTATTAACGTGTTAAAAGTCCAACCTCTAGTCTTTTTAAAAAGATTACATTTAAAGGGCCCACATTACTATTACTATTTTCTGATCTATGTTCTAAAGTAGTTTCCTCATCACACACACGCCTGGAGTTGTGTTTTGTTTCATTCACACATGTTTAACACACAAACTTGCACATTTAAGTTGAGGTCTTCTCTCAAACAGAAAACACTCTGTTCCACCTTGTGATGTCATGTGGTGATACAAGATGTGCTCCACTGTATTTTACTCCGTATGCCTTCACTAGAATCATTTGGCTGATTTCAGACCTGGAATTGCCAATCTCTACTGAACTAAAGGGAAAAGGAGGTGTTTACTTGAACTACCATTTTATGACATCACAAGGTGGAACAGAGCATTTGGTGCTTTGGAGATGTAGAATGACTAATAATAAACATGTAAATGAAACAAAACACAACTCCAGGTCTATTTTTGAGAAGGGAACAACATTAGAACACCACAAAACACCAAATCTTCAGCTCCCTCCCTCTCTTCCATTTTCATCAAAATAAAATAATTAATCGAGTAATACAAATTATGGTCAACTGATTAATCGACTTAATGATAAAGACCTACATGTAGCCCTAGTTTTTCCTCATCCTCCAAAGCCTGACTGAGACATATACAAACAAAGCGGCCTGATTGCAGAACATATTTGAGCCATGTAGAGCTCCTGATTAAATTATACCCAGTGAAAGGCTGTGTTTTTTCAAAAGACTTATTTTCCTTTATCAATAATCAGGTCATTGGCCTTTGAAAAGTCTCTCTGAGCCCATGGAGTCTCTTTCACTGCAGTCACAAACATGGAGGGAGTGAATAGGACTAATCAGAAATGGGTTTGAAAATCTGATTTCCAAAAGGTAAAAGCAACCAAAAATCTTGATATTAAAATAACATATTCCGTGCCGTGTTCCTAAAGAGAATATAAAATGTTGGAGGAAGAAGCACTGGGCGTCCGATCTTATCACAGCTTAATATGGTGAGTCAATTAAAGGTCCTATATTACACAAAATTGACTCTTATTATCTTTAAGACCTTTGTTTCATTAACACATGTTTGAGTAAGTCTTTAGTATCAGACGTGGGGATGTGCAAATTGTGACTTGGACTCGATTCTGACTTGAGTCACTATTTTTAGGGCTTGAGACTTGACTTGATAAAATGGATTAAGACTTGGGACTTGACTCAGACTTGAGCTGTGACTTGATGTTTCTCCTAAAAAAATGTTTTTAGAAAATAATTTTCTCTTTATAAATGTTGATAAATGTGGTGCTGAATTTTACAGAAACAAACTGGAACATCCCTCCCACTTCTGTGTTTGTTACTTTGATGGAACTGAAGTACTGTGATACTCAAATGTACTACAGTAATATAGAGTATAATACAGTAATACAAAGGGAACTACAAAGAACATGATCCTTCCATTTCAGAGAAAATAACTGTTATTAAGCTCTTTTAAATGTGAATTCTTCATGTTCTGACTATAATGAGTCACACTTAGATCTTGTCAAAACACTTAAAAAGGAAAAATTAGCATTTCTTTAACTCAAATATATCATGGCTTTTTAAGTACAATTTAGTTTAAAATTCATAAATTGCAAAAATCAAAGCTATATTTGGTACTTTAGTTGAAAGGCTTGAAATGACTTGAAGCTCAAAGCAGACGACTTGGACTTGACTTGGACTTATGGGCCAGTGACTCGAGACTTGACTTGGACTTGCCTGTCTTTGACTGAGGACTTGACTTGGACTTGATGTCAAAGACTTGAGACTTACTTGGGGCTTGCAAAACAATGACTTGGTCCCACCTCTGCTGTCTACATCGCCAAAGCTCAAAATGCTCAAAAGTTTTGTCTTTAGGTCACTTGAGACCAGCAATTCCAGGGCTGAAATGATCCAAATGAATGAATTCATATTGATTGTTTTAAATGTTGAATGATGAATTGGATTGTGGTTATTTGAAGGAAACGCTGAGTTGAGTAGACTTGGTTTAATGTAAATAGTTTCTTTAATGGGTTTTATACTAAATCTGGTGCAGAGCGTCTTTTCTCTCTCAGATTAATGCTTTTTGTGCATTGTCCTTGTTGTAAATAAAGAAATAATTCTAGTGAAGATGTATGGAGTTTAAAAACACAGTGGAGCACTTCCTGTTATATTACCACATGACATCTCAAGGTGGAAGAGAGAATTTGTGTGTTAAATACGTGTGAATGAAACAAAACACAAATCCAGATGTGTTTGTGATGAGGAAACATTAGAACCCTTCAGAAAACAGTGTAATAAGGGCGCTCTAATGCCACAACCCCAAATACTGTCTCTCTTTCTCTCTCTCTGTTCTTTCTCCCGTTCCTCACGTCTCTCTCTCTCTCTTTGTCCATACCCCCCCTGCTGTCCACTCACCAGAATGACGCCCAGGCTCCACAGGTCACATGACTCATCGTAGCCGTCGTACTTGAGGATTTCTGGCGCGGCGTACTGCAGAGTGAAGCACGGCGTCTTCAGCAGCTGATTGTCTGGAGGTTTAAGACGGGCAAATCCAAAGTCTATGATTTTGATCTCCGAATTCTCGCTCTCGTCGGTGAAGAGCAGGTTCTGTGGAGCAATTTGAAAACACATACACACGGTGATCATTTCTTTCTGTGGAGCACTTTGTGACCAGACGAAATTGGACGTGAAGGCTGGGAGGAGATGGTAGTTTTGACCCTCCATGTTGGGGTCAGACGAGGCAATTCTGAGATACTGTTCTCTGAGGAGTGACTGCGAAAATGGAAGTTCAGTAAAATACAATGATTTGGTTTGAAAGGCGATCGTTCACAGCGCAGGTATCAGCTTTACAATTGGACACTTTGGAAAATCAAATTCAGGACTTTTTAAAACGTAAAACTTTGGGGACTGGGTCAAATAACTCGTATTACTGCTTTAGTTACAATGAAAAATGTTGTTTTATTCTAAGCATTTGAAGAGAAAGTATATTTTTAGTCCAATGATATGAGGAGAGATTTGCATGACTTAAAAGGTTCACTATGTAACTTTTTTGTTGGTCAGTCACCTGCTTGTTTCTATGGATACATCATTACTCTGCCTGGAATGTTCCACAGTGTGACTTTAAACATCTCTACTTTACATTTATTCAATTACCGGTGGTTTTAAAGCTAAGAAATACCTAGAAAAACAGACACTGTGACTGTGAGCGAGGTCGCCTCTCCACAGATCTGACCCGTGACTTGGTCTGGTTTGGTCTCCATGAAGACAAAAAGGTTTAATGTCATACTGTGAAACATTCAGACAAAGCATTAACGTCTCCATGGAGAAAAGCGTTTGACGGACCTGCCACCAGAAAATTTTTGATGATTTTTTTTCCATTTCTATCTAATCTGGTGCTATTATATCTGTTTTAAAGATAAAGTAAAGTTTTACACAGATCAAGAAGCAGTTTGTGAAGAAAAGTAAAGGTGTTTTTTTCTGTTCTGTGTGTTTATGTGTGTATGTGTTATGTATGTTTATTTGTCAAATAACCACGTTTGTGTACATTAGAGAGAGGGAGAGGAAAGAGGAGAGAGAAGAGAGAGAGAAGGAGAAAGAAGAGAGAGGTAGAGAGGGAAACAACGGGAGGAGAGAAAAAGAGAAGAGAGAGAGAGATAGAGAGAGGGAGAGGGAGGAGAGAGGGGGGAGGGAGAAAGAGGAGAGAGAGAGCGTGAGGGAAAGAGGAGAGAGACGGGGAGAGGGGAAATAATGGGAGGAGAGAGATGCAGAGAGAGGGAGGAGATAAAGAACAGGTTAGGGGGAGAGAGAGGGGATAAGGAAACATAGGGAGGACAGAGAGAGGGAGGAGAGAGAGAGGGCATTAGGGACAGAGAGAGGGAGGGAGGAAAGAGAGTAAAGAAGGAAGAGAGTGGGAAAAGAGTAAAGACAGACAGAGGGGAGAGAGGGAGAGAAAACTAAATAAAGGTGTTTTCTTACATGATCAAACTGGACAGAAAGTGTGAAATGTGTAGTTCAAACTGTCATAGGCACTTTAAAAATGTATAGAGACAAGCAAGTGAGGGCACCAGCGCAATACAGGTCAGGTCTGTGGAGAGGCGACCCAGCTCACAGTAAGAATGCATGTTTTCACAGTGCATTTTTAAGGAATAAAAACATGTGCAATTGAATAAATGAATAAATAGATAAGTTTAATGCCATACTGTGGAACACTGCAGGTAGAACAATAACATTTCAATGGAAACAAGCAAAAGAGAGACCCTCCACCAGTAAAGTTACATAATGAACCTTTAAAAGAGACACTGAATTGAACATTGTGCGTGCACTGGGGCAAAACCAAGCAGACAACAGCTATTAAACCAGCAAGCGACAATAAAGGCCCTTACCCACAATATATCTGATTTTTGGGCACATAATGAATTAAAGATTACATATGTCTGGTAATGTTTTGATTATGGTTAGGCAATATGGGAAAAAAATAATCACAATTTTATTTTGCCATACTGATCGATCTCAATTTTTGATTCAATTTCCTTCCATTTTATTAAAAACACACACAGACATACTGCAGGTGTAAAGAGCAGAGTTTCAGGACAGTACAGTTTTTTATTTGTGTGGATCTAGAAGTTTGGAATGAGTTTGTAAAATATATTAAACCTAATGCATACACACATTACCGCTATCAAAAGAAACACGGGCGATGTCCGTGTGCTAAATGAGGTCTTAAGTTGCACTCGACAACGGTGAGAAAAGAGTCATTTACTTTACTTTACTTTCAGTAACTTAGATTATAATGAAAAGACTAGAGGAGAGAAAGAGGAGAAAAGGTGAGGAGCTATGCCTGATCAGAGAGTGAGAGGGAGCAGTCAGACAGTATCACACACAGACACAGAGGGAAAGAGACTGCACCTTTTAGTCAAATTGTGCAGATTTAAGTCTAAACTTGTTAACATGTGAGAAGACATAAAGAGACGTGCTGTGGCTTAGGTGTTTCCCTAAACATGAGAGCGTAATTAATCACCAGCACCACATGCTTACAGCCACATAAATGGCTGTAGACCTGTTGAATAAAATGCTAATGCCTTATCATCGAGATTGGCCTAAGCAGAGATCCCAATCAATCAATCTTTCCATTTTTGGCACAGCCCTAGTTTTGATGCACGTTTGTTTCCATGGAGATGTTATTCTGTTTCAATTCAACGTATTTTTATGAAGCAGATGAACCAACATTCACATAAAACATTATTACTTTATATTATTGCTTTGCATGGAATATTCCACAGTGTGGCATTACACTTGTCTACTATTGTGTAGAGGTTACAGGTCAGAGAACACCTGTAATAAAAATAACTGTTGCTTAGAAAGATAAGTCTAATAAAATACTGTGAAACCTTCCAGGCAAAGCAGTGACATCCCCATAGAGACAAGCAGATTCAAGACGCCCTACTAGAAAAGTTCCACAGTGCAGCTTTAACCCGTACCTCTGGTTTTAGGTCCCGGTGCACCACTCCCACGTCATGCATGTGGCTGACGGCAGACACCAGTTTCCTCATGATTCGACTGGCCTCAGTCTCACTGAAGTGCTGCTTCCTCCTGATCCTCTCCAACAGCTCTCCTCCACCCAACAGCTCCAGGACCAGGTACGTGTGGAGCTGCACAAGAGGACATAGAATACAATGAGATCTCCTCCACCCAACAGCTCCAGGACCAGGTACGTGTGGAGCTGCAGAGACAAAACACTGACTAATATTGGAATATTGTAACTGCTACTGTCAGGCTCCTCATTTTGGTCTTAAAATATTTGTATTAACCCGTTCTACATGATCCTAGGATTTTTATTTACCTATACTGACAGTTAAAAAAATCCTATTCGTAACAGCCAGACGGTCTGGGTGACATCACACTCACTTAGTGCTCTTCTTTATACGGTCTATAGTGCAGCTACAGACAGAGACAATAGGCTCTATTCACGCTCACGTCACAAATCAGGAAGACGTTTTGGAAACATGCGATTGCAACTTCCTTTGGGCTCTATTAAGGTTCTGTAGTAATTCTGACAAAATCTAGGAAAAATGTCCCAGTTTTCTTCATCTCTATGTCATTGTAGTGTTCCATTATGTTCGGCGAATCAACCATTCCAACCATCCCTCAGTAACTCTCTCTCTAGTGTTGTTGTATATATATATATATATATATATATATATATATATATATATACTATATATATATATATATATATATATATATATATATATATATGTGTGTGTGTGTGTGTGAGTATATATGTATGTGTGTATATATATATATATATATATATATATATATGTATATATATGTATATATATATATATATATATATATATATATATATATATATACACACACACACACATACATACATACATATATATACACACACACATAAATATATATATATATATATATATATATATATATATATATATATATATATATTTAACACTGAGAGTTACTTTAAAAGATTTTAAATCAATACATTTCATTTCATTCACAAATATTAATCAATAGCAAACAGAAATCTTCAGATTTATTTTAATATGTAAATTCAGAATAATGACTAGTCCAGTGCAATTATCCACAACATAATCAAATATGTCTATAAAGTACATAACATCATTTATGTAAACCACTCCAGAGCTATGATTTCTAATAACATTCAGACCATTCTACAGTAAACTTTAATCTAATTTCTCATGTACGTTTAAAAGGACGGCAGCCTTCACTGTGGTAAAAACAGGAATTTAATCTCCATCTTTTTGTACCATCTTTTTTTATAAGAGACTGAACTTGTGATACAAAAGCGTCTGGGTTAGATTCTCATTAGTGTCAGGTCAAAGGGAACAAAGGCAGCCCTGGGTCGACATCTGGGTCACAGTCTGGACTTTGTTTAGACCTTGTTTAGATCTGATCCAGACTAAAGAGGTGCTTCTGGACTTGGAAAACCAGGACTAATGAACCAGGTGAGATCTTTAGAATACTGATGTCTAAATGTGAGTTTGGTGTTATGTTTTTGGTGTCAGGTCCATTCAGAAGTGTGACAAAAACAAGGCAAGAAGAGAACAGGTCAAATATGTCTGTTATGGATTAGAAAATATATGACATAAGCAAAAAAAAACATAACATCATAAAAATGTACGTTTACGAGATGCAAACTGGAATATGAAGTGTATAACTGATAGTTTAAAGGTGCACTGTGTACCTTCTGTGGTGGAGGGTCTGCTACTAGCTTGTCTCCATGAACATGTTATTTCCTTGCATGGAACGTTCCACAGTATGGCATTAAACAGATCTGACTTGCATTTATCTAATTACAGCTGTTTTATAGCTCAAAAATTCTTAGAAAAACATGAACTGTTATATGTGCAGGCTTGCTTCTCCATAGATCCGACCATTAACTTGTCTCCAATGTGATAATCTCCACAAGAAAAGTTACGCAGGGCACCTTTAAAGTCTAATCTTGCAAAAGAGATAAAATCACATTTTAGAGTAAGTCATATTTTTGCATTTTTGTATTTAAAGGTGCATTACATAACTTTCCCGACCTAAAGTTGTCTCCGTGTAGATGTTTTTGCTTGCCAAGAATGTTTCACAGTAGGGCATAAACTTATCTATCTACCAATAAGTAGGTGAGATCTGTGAAGAGGCAAGCTAACACAGGAAGAATGCAAGATTTTCAGCTGAGCACTAAAAAAACAAGTGGAATTTAATACAACAAAAGAGAACAGTTTAATTCCATACTGTGGAACATTCCAGGCAAAGCAATAACATCTCCATGGAGACAATGAGGTCTTTCTTTTACAATGTATCTTAACTACATTTATAATTGACTATAGAAATATAAATCCATCATTATCAGAATAATAAAAAGACCTTCATGGTAGAATTTGTGGAGTTAAAACACAAATCTGAAACTTGGGTTAAGATTCAAGTTAAGATTAAAAAACATTATATATGCAATAACTCTCTTCCGTGTATATATAAAACTAAATAAATAAATTCAATTCATTACAAATTAAAAGGTACACTATACTTTTTCTTTGGGGGTCCGTCACCTTCTTATTTTTGTGGATATTAGGGTTGGAACAAGACAGTTTCCACGAGATTGGGTCCACAAGAACAAGACAAGATGAGATTTTAGCACAATTCATAATAAACAAATGTTGTGATTCAGTTCACAGTTCAGTTTTTGGCCTCAACATTTAGGATTTACTTTATTTGATATATTTTATGTAACTGTAACTCCGTTTTTGGTACAACAGCTTCAAGAAATTAAATTTTCAGAATTTAACCCCTTTTTGTCCAATCCAAATGTAAAAACACAGGAGTAGAATCTCACAAAATCATCTTTATCATGTGTGCACAACCTTGTCACGATTTGGTTTCGTGAGATCTTGTGCTACGAGACGACGTCCCACCATGTTTCACAGTATGAAACGCTTCCACCTTATGAATCGCTGAACAAATTGCTGTTGAAGTTTATTGTCCAGAAGTTATTTAGCGACCAACGAGTCAGTCTTTAAACCAGGGGTACTCAATTACAAACTCAAAAGGTCCACTTACCAAATGTACAGTGTTTACAGGGTCTGAAAAAGTCACAGTGTATTTGCAAACACAGAACTTCAAAAAAAAAACTGTTGTAAATCCACATGGAACATTTGAACTATGCACAAAGTACTAAATACACTACTAGATCCTATTACTAGACAGATAAATGCTAAATACACTAGCTAGATGACTACTTCAGCAAAGTTAAGTCGCGAGAGGCTCTAGGCTTGTGTGCCAGTATCTGCTGCTCCCATTCCTCCTGTACCACTGTCACTGCACATGTCTCCTGCAGAGCCGCTCTTCTGTCTGGATCATGTCAGTCGATTGCACTAATACTTCTGTACCACTGAACATTTAAAATGGTAATCGAGCAGCAGAAAGAAAGTTTGGAATGAGCGAGAAACTTGTGAGGAACTGGAGAAAGGCGGGGATGGACAACACCGAAACCATCCTGTCAGGATTCAGAAAGGTCAGAATAATTCTAACTGGAACTTATGCGGAGTCTGACAACAGCTACACAGAAGAGGAAGCGGCGCTCTGTTTACCCCCGGAGGTCTCAGAGTTGCACAGAAGTGACATTGAGGATGAAAAATTCAGTGGCTTTAGGTAAACTTGTTCTGTTCTGTTGTTTATGCTTTAGTTATCTGAATAACTTAAAACTGAATAACTTAAAACTTAATATGTGACATTAACAGCCTGTTGTTCTCTGTTCTATTGTTATTGCTATAACTTGCTTTTCAAGATGAAATGTGTGTTTTTGGTCTCTGATTTTATCAAAAACATTTCCCCCAAAAAGTGCGACTTATGGTCAGTGTTGGGAAGGTTACTTTTAAAATGTAATCCCCTACAGATTACAGATTACACACCCCAAAATGTAGTTTGTAACGTAATCCATTAAATTACTTAAAGTGAGTAATGTAATCTGATTACTTTGGATTACTTGATATTGTCATGTTTTTTAAACAACATGAATGTAGCAACCACATCCTGAAAATTCTTGTTTGTTGTCTTCAAATTGTCTGAGCCCAAGTCTCCATGAATAAACAACTGTTTGCTGTAGAGAAACAAAGACCACGATATCTTAATATAAGAGGTTTTGTCTGTTAAAAGACAGTAACAAGATCAGCCTTTCCTTCACCATATTAAAAAATATTATTGATAGAGAAATTATTTTTTATATGAGATCACCTTAAATTATGTCAACCTACTGTTAGGTGTCATGTTGTATAGACCTGGTTTAGTCCTGGTTTAGTCCTGATTTTTAGACCTGGTTTACTCCTGATTTTAGACCTGGTTTAGACCAGGTCTAGACCAGGTCTAGATCAGGTCTTTAGTTCTGGTTTAGTCGTGGTTTAGTCCTAGTTTAAACCTGGTTCAGTCCTGCTTTAGTCCTAGTTTAGTCCTGGTTTAGTCCTGGTTTAGTCCTGGTTTAGTCCTGGTTTAGTCCTGGGTTAGTCCTGGGTTAGTCCTGGTTTAGTCCTGGTGTTAGTTCTGGTTTAGAGGCGCACAGGAGGAAGCGCGGTTTACGCGAGAAAACACGGTCCACAAGCGGCGCACGAGACGGTGGTGTCCGCGCAGTATACGGAAGGAGACGTGGTCCGCGGGTTCTCAAGTTGATGACGATGATGAAGGTGTGTGTTGTTGTTCTATGCAGGTTGTTTTCACCAGTGTCAGTAGCTCCTGTTTCACATTTAAGTTGTAGGCGATTTTATATTTGTTTTTGTTTTTTTATATATATATCTCACATCGGGAGAAGAATTTCCAAGACACAAACTCATTGAGACAGTAACTGTAACGGAATACAGTTACTCATAATTTGTACTCTGATTACGTAACGGCGGTACATGTAATCCGTTACTCCCCAAAACTGCTTATGGTCTACTTATATATGTTTTGGTTTTTTTTGATCGATACGGAAACACATCCAAAAAGCACATGCCAATGAAATATCGTGTGGATCCAGAACATTATGAAAAAAGGCTAGAGAGAGATTTTTGTCTCGGTCTGGACAGCATTAGCATTTGGGTCTGGATCCAGACCGGAGTACGCCAATTGAGTACCTCTGCTTTAGACCCTTTGTCTGCTTCAGTGCTCACCATCTCTGAAAGGAATCTCCAAGAATCACCTTAGTTTGGCTTTGCTCGTTTTTCCCTTCTCTTCTTCACTTGCCATTGAAACAAACTTTGTGCTAACTGCAAAGGAGCTACAGTTTGGAAAAGCCGCTCAGAACCGCTGCGTTGGTCAAGTAAACAGATGCGTATGGTAATGCGTGAGAGGCAAATGTAAACCACATAATCCCATAAGTTAGTTACACTAGAAATGTAGGGAGTTTGATTGACAACCTAACAGCCAATAGATAACGAGGTAGCCTCATTATCTATTGGCTAACAGGCATTCTGACTGTGAGAGTCGCCTCTCCTCAGATCTGACCTGTAACTTGGTCTAGTTTGGTCTCCATGAAGATAGAAAGGTTTAATAACATACTGTGAAACATTCCAGACTAAGCAATAACATCTCGACAGGGAAAAGCATTACATGGACTCTCCACCAGAAAAGTTACACAATGCACCTTTTTCTCCGCTGAGCTTCTCATGGTTCACACTTCTTACTGTCTCAGTTGTAAAAGTACTATTTCCAGGTCAGCTGGTGGTTTTCACAGCTGCAGTTTAAAAATACGCAGGTGTGAAGTTTTGAGCACAGACTTTATTTATGACCCAAAATGAGGAACAACAGAAAGGAATGAGACTGTTCAAAATAAGTCTGCTCTGCTCCATTTTACAACTTAATAAGGCTACAACCCTGAGCCAAACACACAGGCTGAAGTCAGAACAAAATGGATTTAAACAGCACATTTTTTCTTACCTTTTCAGTTGGGCATCCATTACCTCCTTGTTTCTAAAGAGATGTCATTGCTCTGTCTGGAATGTTCCACAGTGTGACATTAACCCTCTCCAGGCAGGCGTTGCAGATTTGCAACAGCAAAATTCCAAGTACCTACTTACTCCACATCCATATTATATGAGCTTTTTTTACTCAGGAGCCTTTTCTCCCATCCATGCTGATAAACGTGGGCGATGCAGACTGTGCAAGAATGGCTACATGCAAACGGCCTGCCAGAAGTGCAAAATACTTTGTTTGTTTACAAAGGATAAAAAAGTCAGAATTGTATATTACTACCCCATATTATAATTTTCCCCAAATATCAGATTTTTCCTGATACTAAAAATTAATTTGAGCCTGAGAGGGTTAAACAGCTTTTAAACAGGTGGTTTTATAGCTCAAAAATACCTAGAAAAACAAGCGGGGTTGCCTCTGCACAAATCTGACCTGGAACTTGGTCTGGTTTGGTCTCCATGAAGATAGCCAAAGTTCAAAGCCATACTGTGAAACATTCCTGCCAAAGCAATTACTCCATGAGAAAAAAGCATTTGACGGGCCCTCTACTAGAAAAGTTACCTCAGCCCTTCGCCCCAAACACACACACAATAATAATAATAATAACAATAATAATGGTAATGGTAGTGGAGCATAACCACACAGCTAGGTCTCTTTCATTTATATATTTAGGCCTATTTTTTAATGGTCCTGTTTAGGAGTGTGATTTTTTTTTTTTTTAAGTTGAGAGTGGGAGTGACAGTAGCTCACAATAAAACTTTTTTGTTTTAATAAGTTTAATACATTTGGTCTGCAATAACTGAAAAAAATCTATGCATGAGGATTTTTCGATGTGAGTGAGGCGTACCTGGTCATGGTAGAGCTCATGCAGCTTGACGATGTTTGGGTGGCCATCACAGAGTTTCAGAGCAGCGATTTCTCTCTGTGTCTGAGCCTCCATCCTAAAACCAGACAGAGGAGAAGGAATGCTTAATTACCACAGTCTAAATGAGATTAATATTGGCACAGAGACAGACACAGACTACAGCAGAAGACTGTGGGTCTGCGCTGTTTTTTGATCTTTGTAGTCTCCTCATCACAAACAGTTATGTTTTGTTTCATTCACACATGTTTAACACACAAACCTGCATTTTGAGGTAGGCTGAGTTCTTCTCTCAAACAAAAAACACTCTGTTCCACCTTGTGATGTCATGTGGTAATACAGGAAGCACACTACTATGATTTTAAACTCTTTCACTAGAATAATTTGGATGATTTCAGATCTGGAATTGCCAATCTCTACTGATAAAAAAGGTAAAAGGAGCTGTTGAAAATTACCGCCTCATGACATCACAAGGTGGAACAGAGCATTTTGAGCTTTGGAGATGTAGACAGACTAATAATAAAGAGTTACTCAAACATGTGTGAACAAAACAAATAGGGGTGTCAAATTATTGCGTTAATTGCGATTGATTAATTAATTACAGTCATATTTAACACGTTATGTTTTTTAATCGCGTTACTCTCATTTTTAATCTTTAATTTTACTGTTTCTGTATGCGAGTTGCTTTATTATAAAATCTGTTTTTATGTGTTGTTGGGACAACAACACACACACACAAAAAAACACATTTATAATTTTTTTTATTTCGGTAATTCCACTCATTGCCGGAAACCCACACAAAACACGATGTAAACGTCATGTTAACGTTGGCAGCGTCAGTCGCACAATGGACGAGGTGGAAGAGCCAGTAGAACAGAGGCAGCAGTGCACAGGGAAAAACACATTCGTGTCTTGGAAATTCTTCTCCCGACGTGAAATATAAAAGAAAATAACAAGAAAACAACCTGCATAGACTCATGATGTCTGCATTACTGTCCTATAGTGACCTGCCACATGAGGGGACACGCACACAAACACACACACACACAACACACACACAAACACACACACACACACACACACACACACACACACACACACACACAAACACATACACAACACAAACACACACAAACACAGACACACACACACACACACACACACACACACACACACACACACACACACACACACACACACACACACACACACAAACACACACAAATACACACACACAAACACAAACACACACCTTCATCATCGTCATTAACCTGAGAACACGCGGACCACGTTTCCTTCGGTAGTTACTGCGCGGACACCGCTGTCCTCCCGTGCGCCGTGTACGTTTTCTCGCATACGCTGCGTAAACCACGCTTCCTCCTGTGCGCCTCTAAACCAGAACTAACACCAAGACTAAAACAGGGACTAACCCAGTCCGGGACTAAAACCAGGACTAACCCATTCCAGGACTAAACTAGGAAAAAGTAGGACTAAAGCAGGTCTAAACCAGGACTAAAGCCAGGACTAAAACCAGTGATCTCATATATAAAGCATTTCTCTATCAATAATATTTTTAATATGGTTAAGGAAAGACTGGACTTTTTATTGTCTTTAAGTAGACAAAAGTTATTATGTTCAGATTTCCTCGTCTTTGCTACTTTACAACAAACAGTTTCTTATTCATGGAGACTTGGGCTCAACAGCCAATTTGAAGAGATTTGTTAAACAATAAATGACTTTATAAAGTCACTTTTTTTTGTTCTACATCAGTCTTTTGATCTGCCACAATAATGTAATAATGAATTTAAATGAAATTTTTCAGCTATTTTTAGGTGAGATTAAAAAGAGATTAATTAGATTAATTAATTACAGATCATAATTTATTAATCTCTAAATTTTTTTAATCGCATGACAGCACTAAAAACAAAACACTCCAGGTCTGTTTTTGAGGACGGAACAGTATTATGAACATGGCTTAGAGCTCACAAGAGTCCATTTTGTGTAATATAGGACCTTCAGTGTTTTGTCCAAATGCTTTGTTCAAATAAAATGAACTTCAAATTATAAAACCAGATGTTCGATCCTGACAGTTACACTTTAAATGACTTCAGCAGTACACCTTTAATTAACATAGAACTTAGAAAGATCCAGTCTGAGTGCAGAAGATGGGCCCATTTTGAGAACCGCATGAGTAAAGCACAAATTAAAACTTTTGCTTGTGTTTTTCACTGTTAAACACATCTGTTCTTTTTATAGTCACAAACTTGAGTCTGTATCACACTTTACTATCAGTGACTCTATCTCCAGTTTAACTTCCTGCTTCATACAGTGTGAAAACGAGCTGCTGTTTTTAGACTTTACACTAAGAAACAGATGGAGATGGTGCAAAAAAACTACAAAATGGTGCCAAAAGTGTGAATATTCGTGTCATGTCTTAAATGATAGTGTAAAATTACGTTTAGATCATCATAGTTAAGTAATAATCTACAGCTGATGTCATCTACATTCCCTGGCGGTGTGATGCTAACTGTAGGCCCTGCTCTGTCTGAAACTCTTACTTGAGTTAGACTTTAATCTGAGCTTTGTTTTAACACAATCTAACCAGAAAGAGCTGATTTAGCTGAACTAAAACAGGTGAGATGATTTGTGCTGTTAAACTCCATCCAAAGCTCAAAATGCTGTGTTCCACCCTGTAATGTCATGATGTGGTAATCTTCAAGTCAGCAGCTCCCTTTACCTTTAGTTCCTTCTACCTTTAGAAGAGATTGGCAACTCAGCCTAAATGTGCAGGTTTCTGTGTTAAACATGTGTCAGTGAAACAAAACACAAGTCCAGGTGTGTTTGTGATGAGGAATCGACATTAGAACAGATCAGAGAACAGTGTCATATGGCCCTTGAATCTAAAATCTCTCTCGCCTCTTGCTGACGATCTTGACGGCGAACTGTTGTCCTGTTTTCTTGTGAGTGCAGCGTCTGCAGATGGAGAAACTGCCCTCTCCCAAAGCAGCGTCCTTCAGGTCCATCTCATATGACATGTAGAACGGAGAGTCCTGGAAAACAAAGGAAAGCATAAATATGAATCTGGTTCTCGTCAAAACATTTGGAAAGATGGTAGGATTGTTATAATCATGTAAACCACACAGGTGGTACATTTTATCGATACTTTGCATCTGATGATGTAATACAGGACAGTTACACTGAAGATGTGAAGCTAAATGAAAGCACTGCTCTGTTAGAGCCTGTTACATTCATGGAGGACATCTAAAATCTCTTCAGGCATGTTCTGGACTATATATATAATTATATAGTTGACTCACTTAGTTTTCAAAATTAAATTTATTCTTCAAGATTTTCTTTAGAGATACACTTTTAGTAAATTGATTCATTGCTCTTGTATTGTAACAAAACTGAGTAGCTGTAGACTACAGTCCCTGACAAAAGTCTTGTCGCTTATCCATTTTGTAGAAACAAAAGCTTATAACCTGACTTTAAATTAATCGATTGGTTTTAGAAATGTCTCATATGAAAGCTAAAACCCTCCCAAATACTCAATATACTAAAATAAATTTGCTTCACTGAAGAAAGATTGATCATTTAATGAACACAGAAAGGTCAGATTTTGGCAAGACAAAAGTTTTGTCGTCTACAGAAAATTGAACAAATAATTTACTTCAAATACAAAAATATGTTGCATAACGTCAGTGAATTAAGTAGTGGTGCTGTGAGATCCAGATTTAATATCTTGTATGACTTCATGAGCTTGAAGGACACATCCATGTGGTTCCACAATGATTCATACAAGTTGTTGATGAAGTCATCAGGAATAGCAAAGAAAGCGTCTTACATGCCTCCCAGAGTTCATCAAGATTCTTTGGTTTTGCCTTCCATGCTTCCTCTTTCATTCTACCCCAGACCTGCTCAATGATGTTCATGTCTGGTGACTGGGCTGGTCAGTCCTGGAGCACCTTGATCTTCTTCGCCTTGAGAAACTTTGATGTAGAGATAGAAGTATGCGATGGAGCACCATCCTGCTGCAAAATTTGACCCTTTTTATGGTTGGGAAAGTAAGAAGAGCTAATACTTCTTGATATTTTAGGTTACTGATATTGTCTTCCACCCTGCAAATGTCTGGCACAGCCCCATACTGGATGGAACCCCAGACCAGGATTTTTCCGCCACCAAACTTAACTGTTTTCTGGGTGAATCTTGGATCCATGCGGCTCCAGTAGGTCTCCTGCAATATTTGCAGTGGCTGTGATGTAATTCAACCGAGGATTCATCTGAGAAATCCACCTTCTGCCACTTTTCCAGTGTCCATCCTTTTATCAGGCTGTGGGCCTTGGCAAATGCCACATGGTTTTTTAATTGCCTTTTGTTTAGTGCTGGTTTCTGTGCACTGATTCGACCATGGAGGCCATTTCGAGACAGAATTCTACAAACTGTTGTGGTTGACACAGGGACTTGAGGTGACCAGGCCTGGTGGAGTCTGCTGCAGTGGAAAAGGGGCCTTGGATTTTCGAATCAACAAACGGTCCTCCTGAGCAGTTGTCTTGCAGTGTCTGCCGGACCTGGGCTTGTCAAAAACATCTCCAGTCATTTCAGATCTTTTTCTTATTCTTTGTACTTGACGCTAAGACACATTGAAGGTGTCACCACCTCAGCAGTGGATCTGGTCTTCAGCCTCTTGATAATTAACGCTTTGGTCTCAGGGTGAATCTTAGGCATGTTGTCAGAGGTCAAGTTGCAGTTAGTGTGGAGGTCTGGTGTGCTGAGGTTCTTTTTATACACACCCACTAATTGATTGATCAGTAACTGATCACAGGTGAGGCTGTAATCTAGGATTGGGTGCATCATATGACAAGACGACAAGACTTTTGTCTTGCCAAAATCTGACCTTTCTGTGTTCATTAAATGATCAATCTTTCTTCAGTGAAGCAAATTTATTTTAGTATACTGAGCATAATTTGGGAGGGTTTTAGCTTCATATGAGACATTTCTAAAACCAATCGATTAAGTTAAAGTCAGGTTATAAGCTTTTGTTTCTACAAAATGGATAAGCGACAAGACTTTTGTCAGGGACTGTACTTCTTCACACTATGTTGTGTCAGACTGGTATCGGCGAGTCCACTAAGACCAAGATTCAGTATCAGATTGGATCCCCAAAAAATTGGTATTGGAACATCACTTGTTTTAAGCTGTGTTCTAATTTTGTTCCCCCCTCAAAAACAGACCTGGAGTTGTGTTTTGTTTCATTCACACATGTTTGAGTAACTCTTTATTAGTAGTCTGCTCTCTTCCACCTTGTGATGTGAAGTAGTCATTTTCAACAGGTTTTAACTGCTCCTTTTACCTTTAGTTCAATACAGATTGGCAATTCGAGGTCTGAAATCAAAATGATCCAAATGATTCCAGTGAAGGTGTATGGAGTTTCAAAAACAAAATGGAGCACTTCCTGTATTACCATATGACATCATAAGGTGGAACAGGTGTCAGGAAACTACATTATAACATAGATCAGAAAATAGCCTAATCTGGGCCCTTTAAGTACACTACTATCATCTCCCCCGTCGACCCTGCACCCTCCATCACTTTAATAATCAAACATCTTCTTCTTCATAGAGTGTCAGATTCAAACTTGACCTATGACCTTTATGGTTTTGATTGATAATAATCTATTCTTTATAAAGTGACCTCTGACCTTCATCATGGCGCTGCGGGCGACAGCAGCAGAGCGCGGCCGGTCTGAGGCTCCACACAGCTCCACGGGGTCGTCCATCACAACGTTCCTCTTAAACAGGATCGAAGGAGCCATGAACGAGTAGCCCTGAAATAAACAGGAAGAGATTACTAAATAATGAGTGCATTTACATCCTGGTTATGAGTCTTATCCCGGTTAGGAGTCTTATCCCGGTTAGGAGTCTTATCCCGGTTAGGAGTCTTATCCCGGTTAGGAGTCTTATCCCGGTTAGGAGTCTTATCCCGGTTAGGAGTCTTATCCCGGTTAGGAGTCTTATCCCGGTTAGGAGTCTTATCCCGGTTAGGAGTCTTATCCCAGTTAGGAGTCTTATCCCAGTTAGGAGTCTTATCCTGGTTCTGACAGTATTCTGGATATGGTGTTTCCATGCACTAAGAGAAACCAGGACACTCATATCTCTGTGTACATGAGGAATCAGAGTATCCTGGATGTGTTGCTATGGTAACTATAGCACAGATATGGCAAGAAGCTAAACATGCAGGAACTTGGCTAACTTAAAACAAAAAAACAAACAAACATTCAAGTAAAAACATGGGACTGTGGAGCTCTGTCACAGCTTCAGTAAAAGTTGTTTTTAACAGACAAAAAATACAACAGAGCACAGAGTCACAGCATCAGTTTGGTTCAAGAGCAACACAAAATACCATTCCCAAATGGGAACATGATTTTATCTTTAATACTGAAAGAAATAAGTTTCACAATTCTATTGTTTGGTGGGGACGGTATATTGATGACATATGTCTGTTTTGGTCTGGATCAGAGACAGAGTTAAAAGAATTTCATTATTTTTTAAATAGCATCAATCCTAATATAAGACTGTCTTTGGAGTATAGCCAGGAAAAAGTGAATTTCTTGGATACTACAATTTATAAGGACAATGAAGGAAATTTACACACTACTTTGTTTCGAAAACCTACAGACAGAAATATAGTTCTACATGGTAAAAGCTGTCATCCAAAGCGGCTTAAGGAAAATATCCCGTATGGACAAATGCAGCTTGTGCGGAGAATTTGTGATCAAGATTGTGATTTTGAAATAAAATCATGTGAGATGATGGACAGATTCCAAGATCGGGGATATAAGAAAGAGACCCTCCTAAAAGCTTACCATCGGGCAAGCCATTTAGACAGAGATGCTCTGCTTATTAGAAATCCACCAAAGACTACCAAGGAACGTCATGTTTAGCACCAAATTCAGCCATGAGGCTTACAAAATCAAGCAAATTATCAAAAACAACTGGGACATTATTGAGAGTGATGAGACACTGAAAGAAATCTTCCCAGAGCCTCCCTTGGTTAGTTTTAAAAGAAGCCCTACTCTCCACGACAAACTGGTCCACAGCTACCAGCCACCAGCACCTAAACATACTTGGCTTGGATCTCGACCAACAGGTTCTTTTAAATGTAACCGCTGCCCCCACTGCACAAACATATGTCAAACCAAGTCATTTCTGGACTATCATTCACAAAAAGAATACACAATAAAACATTTTATCAACTGCAAAACAACTTTTGTTATCTACAGACTTGTTTGCCATACTTGTAAGGTATTCTATGTAGGGATGACAAAAAGACGCCTACAAGAGCGCTTGGCTAAGCATAAATATGCTATCCGCACAGCCAATACCAATTATACTATGGCCAGACACTTTTTGGACTTCCATGACAGTAACCCATCAAATCTACAGATACAAGGGATTGACCATATACCAGACTCGTTACGAAAAGGAAACCAGATTGCTAAACTCAAACAATGAGAAACTTATTGGATCTTTAAATTGCAGGCAACAAAATATCCTGGGCTTAATGATGATTTGGACTTCTCTGTGTTTTTATAACTGTGTGGCATTTTTTATACTGCATGGTATATTTTGTATATATTTTATTATTTTATTTTATTTTTTTGTAAATATTTCGTTTTTATATTCTCTATGATGTTCCACTGTTTTTTTAACACTGTCATCTTGTGGCGTTATTAGGTGGTGTCCACAGGTGAGTCTCCACTCCTCCTCTTCCAGGTGGAGCAGCCTTATTGGTGGGTTTTTTGTATTTAATTCACATGATTTGCTCTCAGTTCTGTTTGTCCCCTGAGGAAAGCCATAGGCTGAAACGCATCGGGACTTTTTAATTTGTCCATTAAGACATGCCGTAAACTAATAAAGGCATTTTATTTTGAACCAGTGAGTGCCTTGGTTTTTTTTTGCATCTTTTTACAAATGTATTTTTTAGGTTTCAGAAGTTCAGTGGTGACTTGTAAATCCAGGTTACAAAACATATTTTCACAGAGCAGATGCTAATAATGCATTTGTAATTTCTGTAGTTGTATGCCTTAAATTTTGTGTATACAAGAAATTATTGGTGGGAAGAGACACAATTTTCTTTGTAATAAAGAAGCAGTGCAATCCATTTCACAATTTTGGCTTCACTATTTTCATTCTCTATTTTCGTTGTAGTGCTGCATGTTTTTTGGAACTACAGCTTCTCAAATTGTATAACTCAGCAGCTCTTAACTCTTTTTGTTTGGTAATTTGTATTGAATGATAATGGACAATAGAGAACAGGCCTTTAAAAAAATGTTGAACCAAAAAGACAAAATCTACATTTGTTTATTTTCATATGATCACAACATTTAAAAACGGCTTTCAAACAGCAGACCCTGACCCACACCTTGAGCCCCCTCCTCCTCCTCCTTTACATCTGTTTGAACTCATGTTTAGTTTTAACTCCGTATTGTTCAATGTTGACACGTCTCTTAAACCCTGTCTCTGCATCTCTCCATCTTTGTCTAGTGTCTATATTTGACACACTCCACGGCAATCCAAGTAATCAAGTCTAGTTTCCAAAGCCCTCAAAAGGCTGCTGTAAGTCAACACGAGCTGGTCTGTGTGCGTTCCCATTTGAATCCACTATAAAGGACCTCGTTATTGGCATAATTACCTCCATATGCAGCCCTCATTGAAGTAACAGATGCGAATGACTATTTTTGATGTCTCTTTCAAGCATAATCTGAGCTCCAAACGCACTATGGCAGCTGATGTCTGTCTCTTTATATCGCGTGAAGTCTTGATTGCTCGCTGGATGCTTAAGCCGCACTATAGATCAATACCTCCCATTTAAAAGTCTTCACTCGAGGGAGAAAAGCAGATACTTGGCGTGTATAGCTACGCCAGGCAGGGTTACGCCTCCCAGCTTTGATTGCCAACTTCTTCTCATGCACTTTTCACAGGCTAAAATTTGCTGGGGCTTTATAATTTCACCCAATCTTACAAGCGTTCATGTTCGGGTTTTTTTTCCTCATTTTTTTTTTCTCCACTGACTCTCCGCTTTCGCATCCTCGCCGTTAACATACAAAACAAAATTAAATTGCATTAGAAGATGTCATTTCGTAGTCGCAATCAGGAATTCTCGGTAATTCAGGGGCAGTGCTTTCATTGAAATGCAGCTTCCGTCCATCGCACCACGCAGATGTTGCTATGTGTAAATTATGGGTCTTCTTCCATAGAGAATACAGGAGGTAGTGGAGTTTAAATTGACAGTTTACAACAATAGATGCAGCTGGACCAGTGCTGTCAATCAAATTAAGACAATGTGGCTTTTGTGGAGCTGACAGGCTTTCGGATCGACAAGAGATATAAATAGAAAGGAGAATACAGACTTTATTCAAACCAGCAAAACATGCAACTTCCGGATATTATAAATAAAAATGGAACACATTATTTACTGGGTTTGAAAAGCTGGACTAATAATACAGACATAGTGCCTTTAAAGGTCCTATATTACAAAAAATAGATTCTTATGAGGTTTAAAGGGCGTTAGAATGTTCATCATCACAAACACACCTGGAGTTGTGTCTTTTTCATTCACACATTTGAGTAATTCTGTCTACATCCCCCAAACTCAAAATGCTCTGTTCCACCTAGTGATGTCATGCAGTGGTAGTTAAGTTCAGTAGTTTCAGGGCTGCAATTATGCCAATGATTCTAATGAATGTATGCAATTTAAAAAACATCGTAATAATAATACACTTCCTGTATTACTGCATGACATCACAAGGTGGAACAGTGTTTTCAGTTTGAGAGTGTGTGTTGAACAGGTGTGAATGAAACAAAACAACTCCAGGTCTGTTTGTGATGAGGAAACTACATTAGAACGCAGATCTGAAAATCTCTACTGAACAAAACATAAAAAAATAGCTGTTAACTTGAAAACTACCGCTTCATGACATCACAAGGTGGAGCAGAGCATTTGGAGCTCTGGAGATGTAGACAGATTAATAATAAAGAGTTACTCAAAAATGATGTGTGTGTTTGAGGAGGTGATAACATTCTAACATGGCTTAAAGCTCACAAGAGTCACTTTTGTGTCATATAGGATATTAATATTATTCACCTTGTTTTTTGTTTTGTTTTATTCTCTTTTTTTCCAAAAGGTAAAATGAGGAACACATCAGTGGGTTTCACAAAACGGGCTGTACAATTAATCATATTTTAGTCAAGAGTAATACAATAATATACCAAATATTATGCGAAATTGACTCTTATGACATCATAAAGTGGTAGTTTTAACATGGCTTAAAGCTCACAGGAGTCAGATATTAAATGTCCTGTATTGCACAAACTAACTAGCAACATTTGATGGAGGTGTGGAGACTTTTTTTTTTTTTTCTTTTTCATGTTTTATTTTGTTCTTTCAAAATACTAATTACAAATCAAAAAATGTGTCCAAAAGGTAAAATGAGGGAAAGGGGGACAGTGTGAGTCATGTGACATTTTCAAATTGAGGGAAACTATTTGTGCTTCTCCATCCCCACCTCTCCTCCTCCTTCTCTTTCTCCTCCTCCTCCTCCTCCTGTATCTGCTGCTGTGAGGAGACAAAGAGTTCATCTATTCTTCCCAGAGTCAAACAAAAGCCTGACGCAGAGCTCATAAAAAGAGACTTGTGTTTGGCGTGGAGCAGAGGAGGGCGAAAACAGGGTACAAGAAAATATCCAAATACCGAAGTTGTTTAGAAGGATGCAAAATTACAACATAATGTAATATAAAGTCTACAGTGAAAAACATATAATTACGATTCAACGAGAGTTGGTAAAAATGAAAGGTTCTATATTACACAAAATTTACTCTTGTGAGCTTTAAGATATTTTATAATGCTGTTACCTCCTCAAAAACATACTTTTGAGTTTTGTGTAACCCTGTTTTATGAGTCTGTCCACATCCCCAAAGCTCAAAATGCTCTGGTCCTCCTTGTGGTGTCATGAAGCTGTGGTTTTCTTCAAGTGAACTTTTCCCTTTAGTTCAGCAGAGATGGACAATTCCAAAGCTGAAATCACCAAATGATTCTCGTGAGGTTGTATGGAGTTTAAAAAAGCAGTGGAGCAATTCTTGTAACTACTGTAACTCTCAGTGTTAATGTATTGTTTGGAAAAGGGAAGAGGAGGCAGAGAAGATAAGATGACTTTTCTTTCATTTTGCTCCTTTTCATTCTTGTGTGTTTAATAGTAAAGGACACTTTTAATGTATTTTTATACTTTATTTATTTGTTTATTTCATTCATAAATTCTAATATTATCACATGACATCATAAGGTGGAACAGAGAGTTTTCAGTTTGACAGAAGAACTCCTGCCTAAATGTGCAGGGTTTGTGTGTTAAACATATGGGGAAAAAAAACACAACTCCAGCTCTGTTTGTGAAGAGGAAACTACATTAAAACATAAATCAGGAAATAGGGTAATCTGGGCCCTTAAAACTTTGAACCCTGCTGTGAAAAACAGTGCTGATTTTTTGTCCCTGATGCCCACCCGTAGTTTGACACCCACCTGGAAGATCTTGTCACAGTTTTGTGGCAGGGCTGCAGGGGAGTAGGTGGGGTCCATCTCTGTGAATTCTTCTGCAAAGTTACTGACGTCCAGCTCGTCTCGTATAACAGGTTTGAACGGAGCAGGGACTCTCTTAGCCGCCAAGTCCTCCCAATTAATTTTCTAAAGAGAGAGAAAAGAAGAGAGGTCAAAGTAATTAATTTTGTTCTATAAAGGTCTGTTTAATAGCCCTGCGTCTGCTTTGTTTTTGTTGCACTGTTGCTTTAAGTGGTGTGATTAATGGAACAGTTTGAGACAGCTTTTGTTTTTTGCTTTTATTTCAGTAAAAGCTATGCCAAATAATACATTTAATTTTCTTATTTCTAATTCTAATCATGTTAGTTGCTCATTTCCATCTTTTTATCAGCTTCATCTTCCTTTTGTTTTGTGCCATCATCTTTTGTGTTTCGGGCACATGTCTGTAATGAAGAAACAACATTATAACAGAAGAGAACATAGGGTAATATAATATCATTTTATATAAGTATTATGTAAAAAGTCTGCATTTTCACTCTATCACTAATATTTACACAATAACAGACTTTAGGGCACTGTTTAGTAAAACAAATGAAAGATATTGCTGCAGAGAATGTGTGTAGAATCGTGTACCTGGTAAAAAGGATGTTTCTTGACATTGTCAGCCCCGCTCAGCCCTGACCCCAGCCTGGTCTTTGGGTCTTTGATCAGAAGTCTCTGGATCACGTCTTTGGCCAAAGGTCCCATGTCTTTGGGAAATGGAGGGTCCTTTTTACAGATCCTCCTGAGAGCGGCCAGAGACAGGATTTGAATATTTTACTGCCGATAAAGCAGTAGTCCTAATTACTACAACAGGCTGAAACATTGTTAGTATGCACTGAACATACCAGACTAACCAAAGAAAAGAGAGATGGAAAAGTCTATGGGCACATCTTAGACTGTATATGTAAGTGGACAGAGCTGACACACTAGCCACTGCATTCCAAACAGGAGGTTTGCATGTGGCTCTTCCGGCTCCTTCTGACTCTGGCTCCCTTTGACTTACATTGGAATATTGTGGCCCCTCTCTCTGTGACTGCTGTGTAAGCCTTGTCATTTTGGTCTCAAAGTGTTTGTATTAACCCACTCTACATGGTCCAGGTGGGGCTTTTTTACACTGTTTTGCCCGTCAAAAAAATCCTATTCATAATGTATACTCTGGCTCCAAATTTTCCCCTGTAACCGTGAGCACTGTGAGCTTCATTTGAGCGCTGCTGAACGCTGTGGGTGACGTCACACTCAATCGGTCCACTTCTTTACATAGTCTATGGGCACACTCATACTTGGACTTTAGAACCGTGCCGTGTTCCAGCACTATTGCAGTGAGTTCTATGTCGCACACTCACACCTGCACAACTTGAGACACAGCCTGAAGACATCATCACACGGCACTGTTTGATTACATGTCACACAGCGGCATGTAAGTCCAGCAGCAGAAATACTTAATATATACTAATATTTACTTTATGAATTAAACAACAGCACAGAGCAAAGAGGAAAACAGGAGGCAAGGCTTCAAAACTTCTGTCTCATTCTTTATTGAAGGTGAGTGAGGATTCACTGGGAGTTTTGGAGCAGAGTTCATTCACGTTTTCCTCTTATTCTGTCTCCTCTCCATGCACACAGATAAGGCTCACAGATATAAATAGTGCGTGTGTGCGTTTGGCCCCTCTCCTCCTCTGGGCCAAAGTCGGACCCGTGCTGAGGCTGGGCTCTGTTTGATTGTGCACACACTGGACAAAAGTACTACACTTTAGGGGCTCTCTGTGCTTGGGCTTGTGTGAGTGTGAGCGCACCCTGATTCTTATAATGTCATGACACTCAAATTTCAAACTTGATTTTGATACTAAGAAAAAGACACACTTGATACATATTTTGACATTACAACACTAAGAGTAAACTGTAATTTTCAAAACAAACCTACAGTTTGTATTATAATCATTTGGTACAACTCTGATATAGATGAGGAGATGAGATGAGTCCTAAGTACCTAGTTACGATACTAGTTTGATCAAAACAGAAGAAAGAAAAAACACTGAAATTCAAACGTTATTAAGCCAGAAGACAGCAAGTCAGCATTACTATTTTTAGAAATAAACAAATAAGTGAAGGTCTCACTTGGCGATGTCTGTGTGTGAGTTCTCGTCTCCGTCCACAGTGAAGGGGGAACCTCCTGTCAACAGCTCATACATCAGGACCCCCAGACTCCACCAGTCCACAGCCTACAAACATTCACAAACATTCATGAAAACATGTAAATATAAATATAATGTACAATATCAGAAGAATTAAACAGTTTTATCCATGAAATCCTACCTTGTCATGCCCAGACTCTCCTCCTTCTACTATTTCTGGAGCCATGTATTCGATGGTTCCACACACAGAGAAAGCCCTTTCCATCTGAAAAATAACACAAACACACTGTACTATATAAAGGCTTAAATCAAACCTATTCTGCAAAATGGACTTTTAACCATGTTTAAAGGAAGCCTCAAAAGAATGTTTACATTTAGTGGACGGTCTGTGCGTGTGCAGTATGAGCCTTTTACACTTTGCTCCCAACAGATCTGTAACAGCGAGTCCAGCTCTCATTGGGCACCACAGTTTCTAACGTGAAAGTCAGTGCACTTGTTTCTTTTATGAAGTTAAATTAGATCAATATTATGTTTTAAAATGTCCAAATTATAACAGAATGATTCACCGGGTCAGAGATTATAACTACAGAGCACACACAAGCACTAGAGGTCTTTAAAAGGTGCACTACGTCACTTTTTGGTGGGGGGTGATATGCTGGTCTCCATGGAGAAACTGATTTGCCTAGAAAGTTCCACAGTATGGCATTTAACTCATCTGTGTCCACAGAGACAAGTGACACCAAAATGACAAGTTGCAAGTCACATTTGTGGAGAGGAGATGTAATAATGTATCAATGGATCAATGGAGACAAGCAGGTGGTGAACCCTGTACCAGAAAAGCTACAGACTGCACCTTTAAACAGAATAGAAATACATTTGAATATTAAATCAATTATTTATTTGTAATTATTATTTGTATAATAAAATTGTAAAAAAGTACTTTGCCATGACAAATTTTTGCATTATGTGACCATATTACAAGAGAAAATTCACAAAAATAAGGAAAAAGGAGAATAACTCCTACCTGATCAAACTCTTTACTGAGCCCAAAATCTGTGAGGACAATATGCCCACTGGAATCCAATAAAATATTTTCTAACTTTAGGTCCCGGTACACAATTCCCAGCTGCAAAAACAACAAAAAGATTATGAAATTGAAATTATGCAAAAGTATATTATAAATTGAAGTAGTAGAATTATAACTGGATTCTCAGATTCTCAGTACCTTGTGTAAATGCTCTAGTGCCAGTACGATCTCTCCACTGTACAGCGCCACCTCCTGCTCCTTAAATCGAACTCTTTGCACTAAATGTGTGAAAAGCTCTCCTCCATTAACGTAATCTGAAAGAAAAAAAACAAACAAACAGTGATATATGAGAAATAATCATGTTTAGTTTAGGTTTAGTTTCACCTTTGTGCATTCTGGGGTTAAAGGGCCAATATAATGTTGTTCTAATGTTGTTTCCTTGTCACAAACACAACTGGACTTGTGTTTTGTTTTTCATTCACACGTTTAACACACAAACACTGCACATTTAGGCTGAGTTCTTCTCTCAAACTGAAAAGACTCTGTTCCACCTTGTGATGTTATATGGTAATACAGGAAGTGCTCCATTGTGTTTTAAAATTCCATTCACCTTCACCAGAATCATTTGGATAATTTCAGTCCAAGAACTGCCCATATCTACCAAGCTGAAGGTAAAAGATAGCTGCTAATTTGAAAACTACCGCTTCATGACATCAGAAGGTGGAACAGAGCATTTTAAGCTTTAGAGATGTAAACAAACTAATAATAAAGGTTTACTCAAAACTCCAGGCATATTTTTCAGGAGGTAACAACATTCTAACATGTTTTAAAGCTCACAATAGTCCATTTTGCATAATATAGGATCTTTCATTTTTACCAAATTTCTTTGATTCTTTTTTTTTTTTTTTTCACTACAGACCTTATATTACAGTATGTTATAATTTTGCATCCTTCAAAACAACTATTTGGATATTTTCTTGTACCCTGTGTTCACCCTCCTCTGCTCCACACCAAACACAAGTCTCTTTATGAGCTCTGAGTCGGTCCTTCACTACAGTCATTTGAATGATTTCAGCTCTTGCCTGAACTGAAGGTAAAAGGAGCTTAACTACCACTTCATGACATCACAAGGTGGAAAAGAGCATTCTGAGCTTTGGAGATGTAGACAGACTAATAATAAAGAGTTACTCAAACATATGAATGAAACTAAACTCCAGCTCTGTTTTTGAGTAGGGACCAACATTAGAACATGGAATACAGCTCGCAAGAGTCAGTGTTGTGAAATATAATATCACAACACTCCACAGAGATACCCAGGTCAAGTTACAAGTCAGATCTGTGGAGAGGTGAAAAAAAAGTTCCACAGCATGCCTATACTGTGAAACATCCCAATAATGATTCAATGGAGACTGCACCTTTAAGCAGAACAGAAATAGAAATACAGTAAACATTTGAAAATTAAATCAATTTAAATTTCAATTTCTTTGTAATTTAAAGTTTCAGCAAAATAAACAAAACCATGAACAAAAATAAAAAATTGTATAAAAGTACTTTGCCATGACAAATTTTATCATTATGTAACAAGTGCTTATGTTTAAAGTGGAATTGCCTCAAAAGTTCGGTGCATTCTCTGCTTTGCCTGTTTAGACACGACCAGAGCTGTTTGTTCTGGATTTTAAGTTTAAACCCCTGAGAATTCTGGGAACCAAGTCCCTGTGGATCTTCTGTTTTGTTTACTTATTTTGGGTTCATGGAGAGATCATGGAACAAAAATGGTCCAAAAAAGAAGTGGCCATATTCGTTTTGTATCAAGTCCTTTCAACAGACCTTTGTGCCTGGATTAAAGTAGCAATGGATTAACAGCAGAATCAAACATGGATCTATAATAAAAACTGGATAAGCCCCTCGCCCTGTGTCCCGGCTCCAGACAGGCTAGTGGTCACTCCAGGTACTGCAGCTCTAGGAGTTTGGGCCCAGAAACAATTCTCCCACAGAGCGCAATGCATTTTGGGAATTCAAATTGCCTGTGTTTTGACAGGGCATCCGGCAACTAAAAATCAGAATAAAAATTCAAGCATGTTTTTTCAGAGTTAAAACTTAAAAAATTAAAAAGTGCAATATTCAGCAGTATTTCAAATTCAAAATCTAATGGAACAAATGATCTTCCAGAGTAATACACCTTTAGATTGGTTTTGTGTGCTGCTGACACAGTTCCATGATTCCCTACCAAGTATGAGGTGGAGCTTGGTGTCCGTCTGGAAGGCGTAGTGCAGTGTGACGAGGAAAGGCGACTGGCGGATGTGCTCCAGGACCTGCCTCTCCGTCCTCGTGTGCTCCGCCGTCTTGGCTTTCTGAACGATCGTTGCCTTCTTCAAAACCTTCATCGCGTAAAGTTTCCCCGCATCATGGCCGCTCACCTTACGCACCAAGAACACCTTTCCATAGGCTGAGGGGGGGAGGGGAGACGAGAGACAAGAGAAGAGAGGGTGGGGGGGAGAGAGAAAGAGACAAGAGAAGAGAGGGTGAGGGGGGGAAGAAAAAGTCGGGAGTTTAAATGTTTGTCAGTTTTCTCTGTAATCATTATTATTGCACTCATGAGAAATGTTACACAAAGAAAAAAAGGACAATACAAATTACATCATATTTAAGTAGGCCTGTAACGATAATCAATAAATCAATTAATCACACGATAACTTTTAATGAGCTCGATAACTTTTCCAGCCGCATTTGCATGTTTGTTCATTTACCTTGTCTCTCTTGCTCTCTCTAACAAACAGATTAAATGTCAAAAGGCTTCTATCTCCTCTTGTTTCCTTAGCGTAATGACGCTTGAACCAACGTGTCTGCATAGACAGATTATTTGTTTATCAACACAGCGGACGCGCACAGGCCAAGTGCAGAAAGTGCCGCTGTGTGGTTAACAAAGACACAACACTAGCGCCGCCGTCAGAGCACCAAAACTCATCTCACTGTGACAAAACAAGTCACCATGCTAAATCAACACCAGTGAGTGGTGAGAGAAGAAATAGCTCAAACCCCAGCAGCCGACATATACCTATACCTGATGGCCACAACTAGCCCCGCCCCCCGGGAGTCCGACAATCCCTGTATAAAAAGTGGTCGAAGTGCAACGTCACCCATAGCGTTCAGCGTCACTTAAAATGAAGCTGGTGATGCTCGCGACAGTTACAGGAGTGAATTTGGAGCCAGGGTCTGTTATGAATATGATTTTCTGATGGACAAAATAGCCAAATAGGATCATGTAGAGTGGGTTAAGACCAAAATGCCGAGGCCAGAGCAGCAGCCGCAGAGAGGAGACTTAATAATCCATTTTATTGATTGTTTTGGGTGTATTTGCGTTTTTATTTCATTGTCATTCTCTTAGTTGAAAATGGTCTCAAAATGCCAATATTATTGTTGATTTCAGTAATTTCATAGTCAATTAATCGTCCAGTAAAATTTGTTATGTTATCGTTGCAGACCTATATTCAACTAAAAAGTTGGAACTTTTACTTGTAGAATATTTTGTGGGAGATTCTGTAGCACTAAATGATGGCCACTCTGAGTCTACTCCACAGACTGTATTAGGAAGTGGATTAAGTGAATGTGGCATCACCACAGCGTTTGGCTCCAGTCGAATGAAGCTTATCGAGGATGGCAGTTATGGGGCGTATTTGCAGTCAGGTCCACACTAGCAATAGGAATTTATTTATGGACAAAATGGCAAAATAAAAGCCCAGGATCATGTAGAGTGAGTTAATGCCAACATTTCAAGACTAAAATAATGAGGCTCATAGCAGCAGGTACAGAGAGAGGGGACAACTTTTCAATACAAAGTGAATTGGAGCCAAAGCATGCTGATGCTCACATCCTGTTTGGAAGTGGCTGGCGGCTAAGCGGGTTAGCGATGTCCATTTAAACAGTCTGTGGTCCGCCCCCACAGACAAACAGACCCCTGCTTCACACTGCAGTCTGTCATCCTTATCACTGTGATTAATATCAGTGTCACAGAAACATGCAAACACCATCTGCACCACCATCTTTAAGACACATACTGCACTGTGGAACTTTTCTGATGAAGGGTTATCTGTCTCCATGGAGATATGTAAGTTTAAACTGATGCAAAACTGACTCCTGTGAGCTTTAAGACTTGTTAAAATGTTGTTCCCTCCTCAAAAACAGACCTGGAGTTGTGTTTTGTTTCATTCACATGTTTGAGTAACACTTTATTCTTAGTCTGTCTACATCTCCAAAGCTCAAAACGCTCTGTTTCACCTTGTGATGTCATATAGTGGTAGTTTTCAAATTAACAGCTACTTTTAAACTTAATTTAGTTATTTTTTTATCTTTTGTTTGGTAGAGATTTGCAATATCCAGAACTGAAATGATCCAAATGAGTCTAGTGAAGGTGTATGGAGTTTAAAAACACAATGGAGCACTTCCTGTATTACCACATGGCATCACAAGTTGGAACAGAGTGTTTTCTTTTTCTGTTTGAGAGAAGAACTCAGCCTAAATATATAGGTTTTGGGTGTTAAACTTGTGAATGAAACAAAACAAGTCTACAATGTATGTTTTTGATGAGGAAACAGCATTATAACAGATCAGAAAATGGCGTACTATGGGCCCTTTAAAGTCATATTGTGAAACATTCCAGTCTAAGGAATAGCATAAATCCATGGACATCTTTAAGCCAATGAGAAAGTGTTACAGAGGTCAGTCTAGTTCTTGTTTATCTCTAGTTAGAAACTATTTTTAGCTTTAAGATTTTACATGTTGCACTTGGAGACTATTTCGGTTGTTGGTTGTAAAAATGTCGTCCTTGAACCGGGCCCCACATTTCTGAGAGGCCTGTGTCCTGAGATAAGACTGTTTTCTCGTAAAATATTTTTTCCAGAGTTGATTTTACTCAGAAGCATTTATCATGAAGTGTTTTGTGTTCAGACTCACCTCCCGTCCCAAGCACCTTTAGCAGCTCAAAGTTCTCGATGCCGACGCGCTCCACGTGGCCCGTCAGGTTGGCTGTGGAGAAAGCAACATATTTCTAAGAAACTGATGCAAGCGAGTTTGAACAGTGAGAAAAAGATGTGAGGAAAAGAATCAGGTTAGAAAGATGAATGTTTTTTGAAAATTGTAGTAGTACTTTTGTGATTTTGATGGAAATTCGGTGCATTAAAGGTGCCTTGTGTAAGTTTTTGCTTGGGGGTCCGTGACCTGCTTCTTTCAAATGTTCCACAGCATGACATTAAATAGGGTGACCATATTTCCATTTGTGAAAATGGAAATATGGGTGGGAGGTGGGGCCTCGACATTGAGCTACAGTCGTCCCTCGCTATATCGCGGTTCACCTTTCGCGGTCTTGCCGTTTCACAGATTTATTTTTTTTTTGGTCAATTTTGCATGTTTTTTTTTTTTTTTAACACACGGGTGGGTCAGGACTGTGCGGGTGCGGTGTCGTACCGCGCGGGTGCGGTGCTGTACTGGGGGTCTCCAAAAATGGACCCATGCAGGATACAGAATAAATTAATCTTCAGTTCTTTACATAAAGAAAGAGGAAAATAACATAAGGACGACAGCAGCAAGAAGTTTTAAGAAGGATGCAAAAAGGTTTGCACCTCTCCTGTCTGAGAAAAGTGTATAAAGTGTGTGGTGACAGGTTTTACAGACTTAAAACAGATATAATAATTGTAAAATATAAAGTTGACTATGCGGATTTCACCTATCACGGGTTATTTTTAGAAAGAAACCCCCGCGATAAACGAGGGAATACTGTACTCTCACTTCACAACCTGTGCACATGGCCTCCCACTTGCCACGAACGGGATGGAAAATGGAGAATTTCTTGTATAAGTCATTGGAAAATGCGCATTTGCGTTTCGGCATGTTGCAGACTGACCGACGTTCCTTCTGAGTCACAGACGCTACGAGAGCCGCTCTATTTCATGCCCCCAATGAACGGTACTGAAAACTCAGACATTTGCATCACTTAAAAAAAAAAAAAAAAAAAAACAGATGCCCTGGACAGGATGCCCCTGGACAGGATGCAAAATACGGACATGTCCAGGGAAAACGGACATTTGATCACCCTACATTAAACAGCTTTACCTTTACAATTATCGGTGGTGTTATTTTTACTTGAATATTCTTTTGATTTTACTTATGAAACAAAATTGAGCACATCTTCCACCACCCATGACTGCACAACACACAGCAAGCAAATCTAATCGCAATCTGAGTAGATGCAAATATCTCCTTTTCCATTTGTCCACCGTAGGAGACCCTCTTTTGTCATTTTTTTCACAGTAACTCCTTCCATCTTTGTTTGAGGTAAAGTCATAACTCCATCACTGCATTAGCCTCTGGAGCCTGATCTCTCCAGGACATTATGAAGCTTGAGTGAGTCCAGCCCACACAGTCAGAGTCTTTACCTCCAGCTGACCGCGCTCATCCCTCTGAACTGTAAAATATCTCATCTACACAAGAATGTCTTGCATGTAGTAGTTTGCAAATATTTCGTTTTTGATTTTTTTTTGTGATGTGGTCAACATCCCGCTCTCAACGTAAACATCGTTGGTCAGATCCAAGGTTGGCAGTATGATGGCTGCTGTTGTGTTTTTGGGCAAACCACCACTCCCCCAGTGTCTGTGTACACTGGTGTGAGTGTGTGTGTGAACGGGTGATTGGTTCCTTGATGTAAAGAGCTTTGAGTCTTGACGGTGGAAAAGAGCTGTATAAAAATGTGAACATTGACCATTTATTTATCATGTGTATATTTTCTTTACAATACTGGGAAATTTTGGTTATTCTTTGTCAATACGATCAGACTTATCTGTAAAAGAACTGAACTGAGTTGAATTATGAACTCCTATGACTCATTACAGATGCGAACTAAAGTACTAGAGGGTCTCACTCTGCTGTTTATCTATGGCAGCTTCAGTTGGGGTTCAGTTCTGGTTCACTTCTAGTTCAGGTCTGGTTGAGTTCTGGTTCAGTTCTGCAGTGTTTTCCGTGGCGCTTTATAGCTCAGGCAGCCACCTTGACAATAATTGCCCCCACCTTGACTACGTCCCGCCAAACTACGTGAATCATCGCAAAACTATAGTCGTCACACAGAATCTCCATGCACCCCCCATCGCCTTGCCTAACCAACACTGGTTCTGGTTTAGCTCTGGTTGAGTTCTGGTTTAATTCTGGTTGAGTTTTGGTTCAGTTGGAGTTCAGTTGGTGTTGTGTTCTGGTTTAGTCCTGGTTCAGTCCTGGTGTAGTTCTGGTTTAATTCGGGTTTAGTTCTGGTTCTAACATCTCCATGGAGAAAACATTTGTCGAACCCTCCACCAGAAAAGTTACACAATGCACCTTTAATCTAAACAAAAACGCTGAAATCTCATAGGTAGTCTAATAAAATATGTTTTTTTGCAGTGTACATCATTGTAGTGAGTGCGTCCCTTCAGTCTCACGCTCCAAAAATAGGAGCAAATTATGTCAGGCCAATTTAATCTTTTCCTTTTCGCTCTCGTTTGAAACACGAGGAAAGAGAGAATAAAACGCCGAGAGCCACTTTCAGAGCGTTTCAGTGTCAGAGCTCAGACTCTGAGCTCGGAGGAGGTCAGGGGCTCGTTATGTAATACAGTAAACACAAAGAGGAGGATGAGACGTGAGCTTCTGACTGACGCTTTGCTACTTCACATGTATTTGTGTGGGTTAGGGTGTGTCCAAATGTCTGCCCCAGCCCTTAACACCTCATTTACTAAACTACTACTACTAGTACTACTACTACTGTGTCTGAATGTCTCCCCCAGCTCTTAATACCTTATTCACTACAGACTTGCACTATTTAGCATTCTGTATTATTCACAAAGAGATTCAAACACATTATACTTTCCACTCACGTGACTCTGACATGGGGTGAAAAAAGTCTAAAGACTAAACTTCAATAAAACGTGATTTCAGTCATAAATACTGGTTAAATCAGACTGACATGTGAGTATTTATGGACTAACAATAATCATTAGGGCGTGGCCGATATAAGCTGATATGGTCAGATATGATCTGATATGGGCACTTGGAGACATATCAGCTATCGGCCTAAATCTTGCGGATCTGAGCCAATAGTCCACATGAGCATGTTATACCTCGTTATAAAACTTAGACATGCCCATTTACTCCAATTTAAAGTCAGATAAATGTCCTAATATGTGGCGCCCATCAATATGTATGTGCGGAATAATATGTCTGTACTGCCCCTACACACACCTCCAGAGTCATGTCACGTGCATTTGTTTACACTCGTGCGCAGCCATAGATCCATTTGTGCAACACTGAGGCGCTGCTTTAAACACTCAAGTCCGATCCACAATACCGACCATTAGGGTTGGAAGATATCTCGATATTTAAAACTATCTATTTTTTAAACATGAAATGGATTCTAACATATCGTATATATCGATATAATGCTTATAAATGCGCTCGCGCCCCAGCACACCCTCATCTTCTTGATTTTGTGACCCCTCCCCTCACGTGTCTCTCACACTCTTCACTTCTGCTGCGAATGCTGAAAGTTGGTACCAACCAAAACCTTCTAGCACCACAAACCTTTTCCACCATTTACAGACAAGGGCATCATCAGCACATCCTGTCACAGAGAGAACACTCATATTCCACTGAGTTGTGTCCTTTAGTCCGACAGAAGCTGAACCGCATCAGGACACAAGGAAAGACCTGTTTATGCAAATGAGTCATGTAGTTTTAAGTTTTGTTTCTGTAAAACATAAACAAATGTGGCAAAGCTGCATTAAGCACATTATAATCTCAAACCAGCTGATGTGGTTCTAAAGTTGTTGTGATTTATATGTTGTAAAGTTTAATAATGTAAAGTTTATTTATGCCGAAGTTTTTTATTTTAATAATCTGCTGCAGTTTATAACTTGTACGATAGTATTTGGAAATGTTCGGTTTGATCTGCAGTGGCTTGTGGGATACCTCATAGTTTCTTACCGCTGGTTAAGAATATAGATCTATTAAAAAAAGGAACCTCCCAAGCTTCCTCTGCTAAAGGAGCTCATGGTTATGGTTATCGTATACAGTGGTCTCTCGTTTATCGCAGGGGTTACATTCTAAAAATAACCCACAATAGGTTAAATGTGCGAAGTAGTCAACTTTATATTTTACAATTATTATATCTGTTTTAAGGCTGTAAAAGCCCTCACCACCCACTTTATACACTTTTCTCAAACAGGACAGTTACAACCCTTTTTGCATCCTTCTTAAAACTTAAAGCTGTTGTATGTAACAAACCGAAGATTAATTTTTAATTTATTTATTTATTTTTTTTACTAAATCAGGACTAAAATGAGACTAAAACTTTCTTTACAAGATAGAATGTGATGCAAAAATGCCATTAGGCTGACCTACAGTCTTTAAATATTACATATAGATTCAGAATAACAGTAAATGTAAACTAAGCAAACCCAATTTAAAATCCAGTAGAGTCAGACCTAAATTTTATAATCGGACCCTCCAGCTCCCATTTTATCTGTATCATATCGGCCGCACAAAAATCAATATCAATCGGGTCCTAATAATAAGTTTTTGTCAAAATAGATCTTATGTAGACAGACTGGAGTGTTTGCTTTTTGTCTGAAGTGAAACACCTGTCTCTGTCTGCTGTTGGTTTTAAGATTCTCCCAGTGCATTGTGGTCTTGGTTCAGTCCTGGTTGAGTTCTGGTTGAGTTCTGGTTCACCTGAAGTTGAGTTCTGGTTCAGCTGTTTTAGTCCTGTTTTAGTCCTGTTTTAGTCCTGTTTTAGTCCTGGTTTAGTCCTGGTTTAGTCCTGGTTTAGTCCTGGTTTAGTCCTGGTTTAGTCCTGGTTCAGTGGGCATTGTTTACATTACATAACTCTTGTAGTGACCAGTGTGCAGAGTCCAGGAGGAGGAGTTTGATTCTGGAGTTATTATTAGACTGAGAGGACAGAGTTCCACTGACAACACAAACCCACTGACCTGAAGAACCAACGATCTGAACTC